TTCTGGAGATTAGCCTTGGGATTGTTAGTTCAAGAGCTTTGAACCGACCCTGAAATTCTTCTTGGTCATGCGATGGAATCCACCGCTTCCACTGGGCATATAATTCTTTTCCAGCTCGTGCCACATCTTGTAAGTGAGTGAGAATGAGGTTATATGCCTCCTGGCTGCTATCTGGACTCACAGCGGCGGCACGTTCACACTCGGTTTCTGCTATTTGGAATGCTGTAGTCAATTCAGTGTATCCAGAATTATCCCACAAAGCATTTAGAAGAAGGGCTTTACTTTCTGTAAGCTTTGACTCGCATTCCTCTGCAGTTTTTTCTATGTCGGCCTTTTGTTGTTCTGTTAACACTACATCCCCTTCAGAGTCCAGCTCAGCCTCCAACTTTGCGATGAGTCCCGCCTCCACTTCATCATTTGCAGTCATTACTTTCTCAGCCTGCAAGCTAAGCTTACTGAAGCTGGCTTTGAGCTCTTCCTCAGACATATCCTTGTATGTTCTGGTTATGGTATTAACCAAACGTGAGAAAGATCTTTTTGCTGATGTTCTCTCGGCCTTCAGTTGTTCAACGGATTTCTCTGACTCATCCATTTCGATTCTTCTTTGTTGATGCGTAGAGACCGGTTTTTCACTGTTAAGTTCCTCTGTTAGGTGACACAATCCCCACTTAACAGGGATCATCTACTGGAGAAATACGCAGGATTCCACTCAGGACTTCATGGCTTCACTTTTCATTTTCCTTTATTTCACTTCCGTTTCATATTATCCAAGACGGAAATAGGGGATGACGAAGCACGAAGCAAGGCAAAGCCTACGAGCAGGTGAAAAACCTTAAACAAAAACATTGTGTGTGCTAAGAAACAGTGTAAATTGTGTAACATTTCATTATAAACAGCCATTCATAAAATGTGTGATTTCAATGTGATATTCATTTATAAATGTTAGCACGAATATATATATATATATATATATATATATATATATATATATATATATATATCATTAATTCATTCGGATATATCATTAATTCATTCGGATATATTAATTCATTCGGACCCAAACTCACTTAAATTCATCACTTCAGCTATTTGTTTCACTCTTACATAACAACATCAAATAATGAGCAGGTTTGAAGTAACTTATTAACAATCAAACATCAAACTAACTTCTAAACACCCGACACAAACATTTATGATGCGCACCGGAGACCACAGCTCCGAGCTGCGCTTAACATCACACATCAGCTGATCGGCATGCGCACTCGCGTTACAAATCTGCGTCTTACCGGCTGCCTTTCCAGTCTTTAGATGAGTGTCATTTACCGCTTCGGAGGATCACCACGTTAGTGCTTCCTCTAGGAACTTTCACAAACAGTTCTCTCTCCTGACATATCCTACATAAAACATTTCAGGCAGGAAATGCGCGGTGACGTTCTGAGACGTGGAGCGACGCGCGCACTGACCTTAATTAGTTCCAGCTGTTTCATCTACCACCTACCCCGTGTGTCTTATTTATTTTCTTTATTTTTACATATTTTTTCCATTCTTTTTTATATTTTTATTTTAGTTTTTATTTCAATCTAAATATGCTGTATGATCATGATTTTGACCGCACAATATACACCCACTCTGTGTTTATTTCAATGAAGAGTCAAGTTTAAAAAAAGTTAAGAATTTATTACTAACAATTTAAAGATGACAATTTAAAAGACAATTCATAAATGACAATATATTAAAGGCTTTGGCATTAAAGCTTGGTTGTAAAGCAATCCGTGTCTGGATGAAACTAGACATGAAGTGTGTGTGTTTGGATGTGTGAATGTGGGTCTCAGAAGGTTTTATCTTAGAGAGAGAAAAACGCGTTCTGGGTGAAAGAATTTGGTTTTCAGTTAAGCTAAATTATTTCTTAATAAAAGGCATTCAGAGGCAATCTGTCGGAAGTGTCTACCTCACCCAGTTAGGAGACCCCCTTTTGGATCTGAGATGTCAGGAGGAGATGATGACCCCAAGCACGAGGTGGGTAGAAGAACCGTAGTACTACCAAGTCGGTCCTGAGATGTCTCCGGGTCACAACGACTGGTTGGGTCTCAAAAAAATTAATAACTCTGAAGGAGTTTGCATCAGCTTGTGCTGCAGATGGCATTTTTGTTGAAGCAATTCTATCGGCGCGGCAGAAAAGCTTTAGTAGAGGTTTCGAACGGCCGAAGCGATCCTCTGGACTCTCGTTGCCACGGAGAGAATTTGGTGAGCTCAAGAACTGAACTTGAACTGAGGAGTTAGTTTTTAAGAGACAGCCGGTAATCTTATCCTAATGAATTAGATTTTGGCATGTTGGAGGGTGAGACTTAACATACCTCGGAACACGCCCTCTCAGAGACAGAAAGTTCTGGTTTGTCATGTGACAAAAGGTTATGTGAGTGCAAGGTTACCATTTAACATGGAGACTATGTGTGAGGATGCAAATAATACACTTGTCATGATTAAACATTACTGATTATCATAAATAATTATTAGCCACAGAATAATAATTCATTTCAGTAATGAAATACATTTATAATGAACCTTTGGTGATTTAACAGTAAAAGAGTTTATTATAAATGATTCTTCTGCAACGTGATAAAATCCTTGTCTTGCTGTGGAGGCAAAGGAAGTCAAGATATGGTAAGGCAGTTCAGATTAAAGATGGTTAACTGCAGACTTTGTGTCTTCTGTAATGGATACTCTGTAGATAGAAGTACAGCCAGGCTTGACCCAGCTGAGGAAGTGACCTTTGGGTCACAAATGAGGCCATTCATGTCGCTACACAGGCTTACGATGCCCCTGTATGAGTTTCTCCTGGCGGTCCGGAGGTTTGTGGTCTGAGTGGTGAGGTCACCGGACGTCAAAACCACAATAGTCAGAGATTAGTAGCATCCTCTGAGTTTGGCTTCCCCGGCCATGAGATGCAACCCAGGGTCTGCAGATTAGGTGTCCAAGGTGGATGTCTGAGAGTTGAAGTAGCTCTGAAAAGAGCCGTTTTGTCTGTAATCAGTTGCAGCGTTGCAGAAAGGTTTTGAATTGTCAAAGGAGTTTGTTTCAAAAGAGGCTCCTTTCCCGATTTGGCCAAATCGAGGGTCAGCTGGAAACTGAATTACTCGGGAAGTAAATCCTGTTTTATTAAACTACTTCTTTATGATTTCTGGCCAAGTCTGGCAAATCAGAATTTGACACGTTTCTAAGTTTTTACCAACATCCCTCAGAAAGCCACGCCCTCCTTCAGATACAAGATTCTTAACCTTAATAAGTATCTTATTGTAATGTGTGTGAGTGTAAACAATGATTAACTTGTTAAATCAAACATATACTACCTTGTGATGTAGATGGATCATTGTAAGAAAAATACTCATTTCAAATTAATTGATTTAAGCACAGATTATTCAAACATTTAATTTAAACATCTTGTTCTTTCATCTCATATGATTATTTAACTTATAAGTAGAACATCGTGGATTCTTCACTTATTCAGAGTGAAGAATGTTGACGCCTGGCTTTCACAGAGTGCAGGAACCTTGGGAGAGAATGTTTGTTTGAATGTTTTGTCTTCATGGAACGTCAACACGTGCTATTATTGTTTTTATTGTATTTTTTTGCTCACTTAACAGTGTCCTGTTTTTATTGAGTGTCGTTTTAAAGGGGCATTATGGAAGTTTGACAGCCAAAACATGTATAGAAATAATAAATTTCTTCTTCATACATTCTCCTGCAATGCCCTGGCCCTGTAGAATGAGCCCTGGCATTTTTACTGTGATTGCCTGTTTTTCTGTAAAATCACAGAAAAAGAGAGCTGCTCGGGTCGAGCAGGCTGCTTCATGCGCGTTCATGCTCAGGCACCGTTCTTTGAACGTTGTTTTAGCTGTTATCAAGCATATAAATGTTACAGATACGAAGGACGTCACTTGCGCTTTAGCTCGCCTAGTAAGACGTCGGACTTTCGTGCAGAAGACCCGGGTTGGATTCTGGATGTGAACATGTTTTATTTAGAGTTTCTTTTTTACATTAATGGTATATTTTTTACAGTAAGATGCCCAAATTTTTATTTGAGACTCACCGAACTGCATTGAATTCACAGATAAAAAAAGATGTGGGTTCAATTTTCATTTTGGAACAATTTTTCAAGCAAGCGAATGGAATGATCTGAGCATGCAGGTAGACTGACCCATCTTCAACCTTTGTCGGCTGTGCTGAAGAGAAAGGTACAGAACCAAATTAGTTAATTAAATAGCTGCGCGTTCTCCTGTCCTCTGTCCTCCGGTTCACGCACACACACACACACACACACACACACACACACACACACACACACACACACACACACACACACACACACACACACACACACACACAAGGGACTGTCTCAGCTGCTATTTTCATTAAGGAGTGTGCACGTACAGCATGTGCACCTCGTGCACGAGCCTGCTATTGAAGCTGCCGTTACGCTTTTGGCCTGAGGGGGCAATCGCGAGCATAAAACTTCAAAACTCCGTAAAGTCCCTTTAATGTTTTTACGATTGTTTTTATTTTTCTTATCTTTAATGATACACAACATTATATTTGTTCTTATCGTGAGCTTTATGGTTGTGTTCAGCACCTTGGTCTGCTGATAATGTTGTGGAAGGTGCTTTATAAATAAATGAAATGAATTAATGAAACTGACCATTCCTGGATGTGACTTGGAAGTTCAGATTTGTGGGTCACAGGCTTCTCAAATCAATATTTCATTTTCTTATAATACCCCTTTAGTACAATAAAAACATGGCACCCTTTGTCCAGATAAAAAACGTTAATTGGTATTCTAGTAGATGCCACTTTTTCTCTTGGGAAGCCCCAGCTATAATTTACAGCTCCTCTCATGCCGTGTATCAAATTCTTGAATTTATTCTTTGAATTTGCTCTCCGTAGAGTGTTTTATCCTTCCACAGCCACAGTTCTGCTGAATTAAACGCTTGTTTTGCCTTTTACAGGATAATGAAGGACAGACAGCGCTACATTATGGTAAGAGGGTCTCTAATATTCATCTCAGCACTTCAAAAATTGTACACTGTCATCAGTATGTTGTCTGCATGCGCCTTCCCCTTTTATTTACAGCAGCTTGTTTTCTGTACACACCCACTCCTTGACTGCATTTGTCCCGAATTCATCATCTCTTCCTCCAGCTCCCTCCTTTGTCCACATCTTAATTTCCAGGAGTTGTTTTTCTTTTTCTTTTTTGTCCTCCTTGTGGATTTACACCTGTGTCTTTTGGTATGTTCGTGAGCATGTGTGTATGTGTGTGTAATAATCGCCAGACCTCCCAGAGGAAATCAGCAGTGGTCCTTAGACTCTCGTGACCCTCTCATGCCCCAGCACACATGTCCCCGAGGGGCGGTTCTCATGTCCTCTGAGCCTGTGTGTGTGTGTGTGTGTGTGTGTGTGTGTGTGTGTGTGTGTGTGTGTGTGTGTGTGTGTGTGTGTGTGTGTGTGTGAGATTACACCATCTGTCCCCCTGCCTGGTGGCGTTAGGGTGGGCAAGTTGCATCACCTACTGTAAAGCTGCTCGCAAGCACGCGCGCACACACACACACACGCACGCACGCACGCACGCACGCACGCACGCACACACACACGTTCATCAGAGGAACCCCTGAGGATGGCGTGTAAAAAGATGACTAATAAACATAAGCGATGAACTCAAAGAGACAAATAGCAGAGAATGAAAATTCCTTCCTACCTCTCTTTGCAAAGGGCCACACTACCTGGCAAGTGATTAATTGAGGGTTTACTGCTCACCATAAATTATTCTCCTCCTCTACTGCTCCCCTGAGAGCTGGCCACTTTTAACAGCTCAAGGCCCAGGCGAGACACTCGCCACGTGCACACACACGCGTGACTGGCTGAATAAAACAATGTTTAGAGCAACAAGAGGTCTGCTACCAGAAAACCTGTCAAGCTTTGTTAGTTTTTTATTCTGGCTCAAAGATTAGAGATTCTTGAAGCTTTTTACACTTCACACACCTCCTGCTATTCACTTAAACACAAGTCGATCATACACACACATTTGCCTACACACCCGCATGCATTTCGATGTCTCATCACATCTCATGTGCTTGCACTGCTGCTAGCTAGCCCGCCAGCCGCCTTTGTGCTGCGGGTTAAAAGGCCCGACTGTCAATCACTGCAGCTGCTGACATCAGCGGACGTGGCACAGCACAAAGTCTGCATTTTAAAAGGAGCTAGCGATTGATACTGAGAGGTGCACTCACAACAAGAGAGGAGCTGAGGGGGAGGAGGGGGAGCAAGAGCGGGCTAGAGGTGCATCAGGGATGAAGAGACCTACTAACTGGGTTAAGAAAGTGCAAGCTGTCCCCCCTCCCTTCTTCACGCTGGACTGAAGGAGAGAGAGGGAAGACCCTTTTAGCAGGGCACAAATTGCCAGTGGGGCAGAAATGAAGTGTTTGAAGGAAGCTCGGGTCCAGACCAGTGTCAGCACCGGGCCTGCAGATGGGCTTTTCATAAACTGAAGAACTGTATATACTGTATTAAACCACCGTCCATGAAGCAAAGACATCAGGTAAATTTTCTCAGACCAGGTCCTCATTACTTTAGAGGTTGATTTTGACGCTAATCTTTGAAAGTCAGGGCAGCTGATGGCCAGTACTGAGCCATTCTGTGGTCAGTATGTTTAACTTTTTTTTTTCGATTCGCAAAATAATAAAAATGACTTTAATCTACTTTAGAGGGGGCTGCGCAGTGGCACAGTGGTTAGAGCTGTTGCCTTGCAGCGAGAAGGTCCTGGGTTCGCCTCCCGGCCTGGGATTCTTCTGCATGGAGTTTGCATGCTCTCCCGGTGCATGCCTGGGTTCTCTCTGGTTACTCCGGCTTCCTCTCACAGTCCATAAACATGACTGTTAGGTTAATTGGTCTGTCTAAATTGTCGTTAGGTGTGAGTGTGTGTGCATCATTGTCTGTCCTGTGTGTCTCTGTGTTGCCCTGCGATGGACTGGCTCTCTGTCCAGGGTGTACCCTGCCTGATTGCCCATTGACCGCTGGAGATAGGTACCCCCCCCCCCCCCCCCCCCCCCCCCCCCCGGCGACCCCACACGAACAAGCGGGTTCAGAAAATGGATGAATGGATGGATGGATACTTTAGGGGACATAGAAATCTAGACATGGATTGTCCATAATGAACACCATGTTCAGACATAAAGGTGTCCATATGTGCTCTTGGCACCAGGATATCTTAGGCCGCAGCTCGATGATCAACTTTGTTGTTGTTTCATCTGACCTGCGACCGCATGTCTTGGACACTTGGGGCAAGAGAGGGGCAGAGCTGTCAACTGACCACTACCTGGTGATGAGTTGGCTCAGACCTCCCATCTACTGGGAATGTCTGGAAGAGTCTCCTGTCAGAAGGAGCTTCAATTCCCACCTCCGACCGAACTTCCAAAATGTTCCGGGGGAGGCGGGGGACATTGAGTCTGAATGGACCCTGTTCTGTGCCTCGCAGGATTGTTGGTGCCTGTTGTGGTGACAACCCCCGAACCTGCTGGTGGACACCGGCGGTTAGGGATGCTGTCAAGCTGAGGAAAGAGTCCTATCAGGTCTTTTTGTTCTGCGGGACTCCAGAGGCAGCTTATAGGTACCGGCAGTCCGAGCAGAATGCGGCTCGGGTGGTCACCGAAGCAAAAACCCAGGTGTGAGAGGAGTTCAGAGAGACCATGGAGCAAGATTTCCGTACGGCTTCGAGGAGATTCTGGTCGACCATCCGGCGCCTCAGGGGGGAATGCAGCGCACTACCAACACTATTTGTAGTGGGGACGCTGTGCTGCTTACCTCTACCTAGGACATTGTGGATCAGTGGGCAGAATACTTCGAAAACCTCCTCAATCCCACCGACACAATTTCCAGTGAGAAAGCAGAGTCTGGAGACTTTGAGTTGGGCTCTCAAATCTCTGGTGCTGAGGTGGTTAAAAAGCTCCTCTGTGGCAAGGCTCCAGGGGTGGATGAGATCCGCCCGGAGTTCCTTAATGCTCTGGATGTTGTGGGGCTGTGTTGGCTGACGCGGCTGTGCCATATCGTGTGGACATTGGGGGCAGTCCCATTGCACTGGCAGACCGGGGTGGTGGTTCCCTTATTTAAAAAGGGGAACACAGGGTGTGTTCCAACTACAGGGGATCACACTCCTGAGCCTTCCTGGTAAGGTCTATTCAGGGGTTCTGGAGAGGAGGGTCCATCGGATTGTTTAACCCAAGATTCAGGAGGAGTAATGTGGTTTTCGTCCTGGCCGTGGAACACTGGACCAGCTCTATACCCTTAGGGGGATCCTGGAGGGTGTGTGGGAGTTTACCCAACCATGTATTTTGTGGATTTGGAGAAGGCATTTGACCGCGTCCCTCGGGTGGCCCTGTGGGGGGTACTCCAGGAGTATGGGGTACCAGGCCCTCTGATACGGGCTGTTAGGTCCCTGTATGACCGGTGTCAGAGCTTGGTCCGCATTGCCGGTAGTAAGTGGGCTCGTTCCCAGTGAGAGTTGGACTCCGCCAAGGCTGCTCTTTGTCATAGATTGTGTTCATAACCTTTATGGACAGGATTTCTAGGTGCAGCCAAGGTGTGGAGGGCATCCGTTTTGGTGGCCTGAGGATCAGGTCTTTGCTTTTTACAGATGATGTGGTCCTGTTGGCTTCATCAGAATGATCTTCAGCTTTTGCTGGAGTGGTTTGTAGCCGAGTGTGAAGCAGCTGGGATGAGAATCAAGACCATGGTCTTGATTCAGAAAAGGGTAGAATGCTTTATCCGGGTCAGGGATGAAGTCCTGCCCCTAGTGGAGGAGTTTAAGTATCTTGGGGTCTTGTTCACCAGTGAGGGAAAACTGGAGCGTGAGATCGATAGGCGGATTGGTGCTTCATCTGCAGTGATGCGGGCGTTGTACCGGTCTGTCGTGGTGAAGAGAGAGCTGAGTCAGAAGGCGAAGCTCTCAATTTACGTGTCGATCTACGTTCCTACCTTCACCTATGGTCATGAGCTTTGGGTAGTGACCGAAAGAACGAGATTGCGGATACAAGCTGCCGAAATGATTTTTCTCAGCAGAGTGGCTGGGCTTTCTCTTAGAGATAGGTTGAGAAACTCGATCATCTGGAAGGGGCTCGGAGTAGATTCGCTGCTCCCCCACATCAAGAGGAGCCAATTGAGGTGGCTCGGGCATCTGGTCAGGATGCCTCCTGGACGCCTCCAAGGTGAGGTTTTCCGGGCACGTCCAACCGGGAGGAGGCCTAAAGGTAGACCCAGGACACGTTGGAGGGACTATGTCTCTCACCTGGCTAGGGAACGCCTTGGGATTTCCCTGGAGGAGCTAGCCCAAGTGGCTGGGGAGAGGGAAATCTGGGCCTTTTGACGTAGGCTACTGCCCCCGCGACCCGACTCTGGATAAACGGATGAAAATGGATGGATGGATGGATGGATTTTCCTCACTAAAAGAAGCTCAATAGTAAACCTTTTTTCTATTTTGCTACCACCAAATGTGCACAAGCATGGCTGCAAGCCAAATATTTTTATTAAATGGCAAATATTTGCTATTTTTTCATCTTATATCAATTCATTACACTTTAAAATCAGCTTCATTAAATGAAACTTTGATCTCATTATTTTAGCATTTACAGAAATCGAATATCACTGTTTATTACAACATTTTAGCCACATTTTGTTGACCAACCAACCACAATAGTTTTTAAACGGGACATATTACACCAAACTCACTGCACTGCCACATGAGTCTCCACTGCTTGTAGAAACACTCCCAACATAAAAAAAATCCAACCATCCATTTTCTTCCATGTTTGGATTTCAAAAATTACCTATTTGTGACATCACAGACAGGGAAATAAGAATAGAAACATTTGGTATGTGTAAGAGAGAGCTGCTGCTGGAGAATCAGTGATTCTACTCCGAGCCCCTCCAGGATATATGAGCTTCTCAGCTTATAGCAGCCTGAACAGGGGATGGGAAGGCATGGTCAGCTCCAGCTTGTTTTCTTAAAGTGACAGAGCCCTAAAATAACCTAAGCCTAATTCATGTTTCTCCGTCAGCCCCGCAAGGGAGAGACACACACGCATTGACAGAGATGTTTTGCCTTTGGACATCTCCATCACCTGGGAGATGTTGCACAGCAATTCCCCGGGTGTAGCGCTTATCTGGGGGATCCTTTATCTGGTCCAAGATAGTGCATTGTTTATGTGGTGTTTTTTGTATTTCAGAGACTTTTTAACACGGACAAAATTGTCCCTCATTCTCCTTCACCTCTTCATCCGCTCAACACCTCTAAACACACGTTTCCCATCATTTCCGTCCAGGAGTAAAATGCTTGCAGCGTATCTTTACTCTTCCAGTCACGAGTGAATAAACATTCATATTTTTAGAGTTTTTCCACGAGAAATTCTACAAGCTACCCCGTGTCTGCCGCTAGATATCTTTAGCCCTCTTTTTATTTTTTTGAAGGGGCAATGGCGGTGCTGTTGACGACTTTAAAGGAAGCACCGTCCTGACCAATCACAAGCTTGTGTTCTTCATCTCATTCGACAGATGTTTAGCATCTGTCTTTGCACACCTGTTTGAGAGCCCTAGCAACAACAAATAATGACGTTACGTGTCTCTGTACCAACGCAGATGGAGAAGCATAAATTAGACTGTAAGGAACTGAAACTGTTAAGATTTAACCCTCCAACTGTCCTAATGGGTGTGATCCCTCGAGGAAAGTTGACCAAGAAGAAGAAGAAAATATCATTTCTATAGCGCCTCTCAAGAAAAAAATCACGAGGCGCTTCACAAAAACAAAAAATGTAAAAATATAAAAAAAAGAATTTGGAAAATGGTTAAAAATATATTTAAAATGAGCAAAAAATAGACAATTGTGATTAAAAAATGTTAAGAAAGAGAGATAGTGACTAGGAAAGAGGGAAATCAGTGGATCCTGAGGAAGGTGGTATAGGTAGGGAGAGCAGAATAAAGAGAGAATGGTGAAGAAGATCATACAAAAGCCAGCTTGAACAAGTGAGCCTTCAGCTGTTTTTTAAAGGAGTTCACTGATCTCAGGCTCAGGGGGAGAGAGTTCCAGAGTCTGGGGGCCACAGCAGCAAATGATCAATCACCTTTGGTCTTTAGCCTGGTGTGCTGCACAACCAGTAGACTTTGATCACTGGACCTCAGGGACCTGCTGGGGGTGTAAGGACCAAGAAGATCACCAATGTAAGATGGTGCTTGTCCATGTAAGGCCCTATAGACCAGAACCAGGATCTTGAAATGAACCCTGACGTTGACTGGCAGACAATGAAGCTGGAGGAGAAGCGGAGTGATGTGGGTGTGTTTGGAGGACTTGGTCAAAAGCCGAGCACAGGCATTCTAAACCACCTGTAGACGGTTCAGGGAGGTTCTGCTCAGACACGTGAAAAGAGAGTTACAGTAGTCTAAGCGTGAGGAGATTAAGGTGTGGAGAACAGTCTCTAGTTCAGAGCGGGACAGAATGGGACTCAGCTTAGCAATGTTCCTGAGATGGAAGAAGGAAGAGTGAATATGAGAACTGACATGAGAATCCAGGGTGAGAGCTGGGCCAAAGGTCACGCCAAGATTCCTGACGGAAGGTTTGGTGTGAGAAGCAAGTTGACCAAGAGAGTCTCTGACTTTGGGAACCAGATTGTCTGGGGCACAGATGAAGATCTCAGTCTTATCTTCATTCAGCTGTAGAAAGCTCCCAGCAATCCAGGTTTTGATAGAGTCTAAGCAGGTGTGTAACAGCTGCAGCTTAGACATCTCATGGGACTTAAAGGAGATGTAAAGTTGGATGTCATCTGCATAAAGATGGTAGGAGATTCCTTTGAAGGAGCTCAGGATGTGCTGAAGAGGGAGCAGGTAGAGGAGGAAGAGCAGAGGTCCCAGCACAGAACCTTGTGGAACACCATGGGTAAGAGAGGTGGTGGAGGACCTAAACTTGGAGATGGCCACAGAAAAGGAAAGCTCAAAGATAAGAGGAGAACCACTCCAGAGCAGTTCCTGATAGGCCTACCCAGTCTCTCAGCCTCTCCAGTAGCAGGTGATGGTCAACAGTGTCAAAGGCTGCAGTCAGGTCCAGCAGGACCAGAACAGAACAGTCCCCTGCATCACTGAGTCAGAATGTCATTAGAGACCCTAAGAAGAGCCGTTTCAGTAGAATGAGCTCCACGAAAACCTGACTGTATAAGCAATCATAGATGTTATGTTCATCAAGAGCAGCTGTGAGTTGTTTAGCCACAACCTTTTCCAAGATCTTGGAGATGAACGGAAGTTTAGAGATGGGTCTGAAGCTGCTATGGAGATAGGGGTCGAGACTCGGTTTTTTAAAAAGCGGGTGGGTTACAGCGTTCTTAAAGTGAGCAGGGACCTGACCAGAAACCAGAGAAGCATTAATTATAGAGAGCACGCTGGGATCGATGGACTGAAAAGCACTTTTAAACAAAGATGAGGGTAAGATGTCGAGGGGGCATGCAGAGGTCTTCATAGAGTTAACTAGTTTGGTTAACTCAGGCAAAGAAACAGGAGCAAAGCTATCTAGGATGATGGGCCTGGTTGGAGTCGGGAGAGGCAGCTATAAGGCTGAAGGAGAGATGCTAGATCTAACCTTATTGACTTTGTCCACAAAGAAAGACAGAAAGTTCTCACAGTCTGTAACAGAGTGGATGGAGGCTGTAGGAGAGGCAGGAGAGACAATGCTGCTGATGGTGTTAAACAGCACCTTGGTGTTCCCTTTGCTCTGGGACACCAGGTTGGAGAAATAGGAAACCCTAGCGTCTCTGACTGCAGAGTTAAAGCATGTCAGAAGATCCTTTAGGTGCAGCAGATGGACGTGGAGATGGGTTTTCTTCCACAAGCGCTCAATTTTTCTGCATTGGCTCTTTAGGCTGCGAAAGCTGTCAGTGAACCAGGGAGTAGGGTTTACTGCAGGAACTGATCTGGTTCTGACAGGACAGATGTTGTCCAGAATGGAGAGGCAGTGCTCGTTGAACTGAGAAGTTAAGGAATCTGGGTCGTTATCAGAAGAACAGGGTGGATAAAAAGCAGCAGAAAAATTGCTAGCTGTGCTCTCATTAAGAAAACGAGAACTGACCATACGGCGAGCAGGAGGTGGGGACGCAGAAACTGACAAGTTAAAGAAAATGCAATGGTGATCTGAAATATAAACGTCCTCAGGACAAACACTGTCAGCATTTAGACCCAGGGTAAAAAAAAGGTCCAGAGTGTGTCCCCTGGTGTGTGTGTGGGGCCAGAAACATGCTGGGTAAAGCTGAAGGTGTCCATAAGGCTGGAGAAATTCATGGCAAAGTGATCAGAGGGATCATCAACATGGATGTTAAAGTCACCTACAATCACCAGTCTGGACAGCTTCACAGTGGAGGATAGAAAGTCACTAAACTCCTGAAGGAAAGAACTGTTTGGACCAGGTGGACGATAAACCACAGCACAGTAAAATGGGTCCTTACGCCCGACTTTAATCAGCTGCAGGTCAAAGTAAGCAAAGTGACCAGAGGTTGTAGAGCTACATGGAAGATAGTCTCTGAAAACAACAGCTAGGACCAGACCAGAACCCCAGGACTGGCTAAGAAAAGAATAACCACTCGGACAGAGTTCAATCAGACCAGAATAATCAGATGTTTGCTGCCAAACGTCAGTCAGAAACAGAAAATCCAGGTTTTTAGAGAGAATTAGATCATCGAGCAGGAAGGACTTATTGTTAACAGAGCGGGTATTTAATAGAGCCATGCTGAGTGAGGTGGAGGAATCAGAAACTACAGAAACAGCTGGAGTAAATTAGCAGGGTTAGATCCATGGTGTTTATAAAACCCACTTATGGAGGGAACAGGAGGAGAAACCACTGAGGAATGAGGATAAACCGACCTTAAAAAACTTGGACGGAGAAACCACGCCTCAACACGGCCTGGCGGGATTGTGGAAGTGGCGCACAAGTTGCCAAACAAAGGACAAGAAGCTAGAAGATCACACCGATGTTTCCTAGATAAACCACGCTTCAAGAGAAGTCTTATTCTCACCTGGATTCCTGCTCGTTTACTTTCCTCCGATGTTTTCCCGGGACTGGATAAACATCGCTGGAGGTGCGCTGGTTGGGATCGTCATTTGGCTCCGGGCCAGTGCTCCACTCAGATAAACAAACAGGACGGTACGTCCTCGGTGCATCTTGGGCGATTTTGAACAAACGGAAGGACAAAAGAGTCTGGCGATCATAGGAGATGGTAGAAGGGACACTACTGAAGAAGATCGCAGACAGGAGCAAGGTGGAAAAGAGGAGGTTAGTGGAGAAAAGTTTGAAAATGTGGCCGGTAACTGCGGCTAAGCCAAGCACAGGTGCCATCTTGTTACCGACCCATAACTTGATGATGAGTTACTTGTTACTTGACCCATAATGTGAGGAGTGAGCACCACCTCTCCCCTGCCACATGGACCTCACGGGATAAACCATCAATCCTGCTCAATGGTCAACTTTCCTCACAGGGTCGCCCATAAAGACAGTGGGAGGGTTAAACTGTTGCGATAGTTTTATGTGAGAGGGATTTAGTGTAAAGAACTTCATTGACCATAGAACTATTATAACTTTTATCACCTGAGAAATGTCAAATGTCCCATTAAAAATCAAATTTACTCCAGATTGTAAATAATCAACTGTGTAGACATAATGCCAAGTATTATTTGTTATTTTGTGCCTATTGATAATATATAAAATACATTTACTGCCTAAAAGTACAGAGCTAATAGTCAAGTGGTGTTGGAAGAAAAGTCTGATGGGTTTGGATTTCTCTGGAATTGTAAGAATTTACAAAGTCTGAGTTTTGCTGAACTCACAGGTGCTGACATTCTCAGTTTTTCCAATACGTGCTTCATCCAAAGTTAGTGTGAATATCTGCTTTCTGTCTTCACATAACTATTTTATTTTACCATTTCTCCCTTTGTTATCTTGCTTTGCCTCTCAGCATCAGCGTGCGAGTTTGCAGACATCGTAGAGCTTCTTCTCAACGCTGGAGCAGATCCGTTTATCAAAGATATGGAGGGCTCTCTCCCCGAGGAGGTGACTGAGTCTAGCGCCATCTCTTCGCTCCTGCGCCAATACACCGCTCCTAAAGGCTAGCTTATCCACACATACTCGCCCTATATTTCTGCTCCACTCATTTGTCCATCATTCCTGGAAAATAAACTCAACAGATCTTAGACCAAAACAACATTGAAGTTTTCTTTCTTTTGCTTTTATTTCTAAGTTTTTGAAGTGTTTTTGTTTTCAGAAGTGTTTGTGTAACAATAATCATCTCATTTGACAAGAACATAAGTTGAAGAGGATTGCATGCACTGTTTTCTGCAGAAACTGGTATCTCCTTTGCAGTGTTGGATTAAACTCTGGTTATATGTTAAACAGTCTCTTCACTGTCTCATTTCAAATATGATGATTTTTGGATAAATTGAGAATTTATAAACCTGACCTCTTATTGACTATTGTAGGGTATTGTTGCATCGGTGTGAGGAAAACCTCAAATTTTAGTCGATTAATTATGTACGCGCATTGTTGCATTCAGTCACAAAAAATAAATAAATAAATAAATTGCTCTGTTTTTTCCAAATAAATGATATAAATTTAACAGAAAAAAATAAAAGAATCCCTCTGCAGTGCTGATGATGCTCTGTGGCAATATGACGGGCGTATAGAGCAACTGCGACATGTCTCGATTGCTGAGTTTAACTCACTTTCACTTTGTTTTTGGATTGAGACTGTGTGAAATAGCTACTGTCTCTGAACTGGACAGGCAGGAGCGATAATTCAGCCCTGGAAGATGTCCATCTGGCCGGCCGGCCGAGAGAGGGTGGGCAGGGTTTCGAAATACTCTTCTGAATGTAGCAGGATGACCGCTTGAACCTGATAACCATTAGTGAGCTGATCATCAACAGAGGGTGCTGCAGATATTAAGAGGCTGAATTCCTGCCCATCCAGTTCAGAGACCGAAGCTATTTCACATAGTGTCTCAATCCCAAAACAAAGTGAAAGTGAACTCGGCAAACCAAATATGTTTGTCTTCCTCTATTAGCCAGCCAATCAATAATGCCGTAGAGCTGCATCATTAGCACTGCAGAGGGATAATTTTTTTCTGTAAATACGATCTTGTTAATTTGGAAAAACAAAGCTTTTTGATTTTCTTGTGGATGAGTGCAATACACTTCCATAATTAATAAACCAAAAACTGATATTCCCAAGTAAATCCCAATACTCAAGTGTCTCATTCTTAAAATGTGCTGTTCAATATAACCAGAAAGATTACAATCCCTCCAGGTTTTCCAATCCGGGGCTCGGACTCTGAGCTCGGACATTGAGCCTCTGACATATTCAAGAATCAGTTCTGTTAGATAGAAAATAATGCAACAATAGTTTGACATCAGTCATCAATAAAATCTGCAATGAAGCTTTATTTGGCTGTTTGTTGTTTGTTCAGAACTGTAGGGTTTCTAAAAGAAAAGAAAATACATAAAAAAAGATGCAAAATGCACTTATGGAGGTTTTGAGCATGTTATATTATTTACTCATGAAAAGCACACCTAAAGTGGTTTTTGGCCTCATGCATGCATTCTGCTCTCTGAGATTTAGCTTCTCTTCAGTTCTGCAGTTTGCTGGATGGGGCAGGTTTGTGTCACTGTGCCTGCTCCTTGTCTACAAGAGGTGCATGGATTTCAGTCATCCTGAAGGAGAGTTTAATCTGCAGAAATGATTGGATTTTCGCTTCAGGAGCTCTAAAAAAAAACCATCTTAGAATGTGGCCGTGATTTTACAGACCGCTTGGTAAACCACCACCAGTACTAGAGTGGGTTTTTAGACAAATTACTTCTTTAAACTGGCGCCATTCATTAAAACAACCCCATAGATAGGCCACAGTGGAGAGTACAATCCTATTGCTAACTGCTAGCCCAGGAGCCGTTCTGTGTCAATTATGTGAAGGGGTTTTAACCATCAAGCTAGTGGCTAGCCCAGGTGTGGGCAATCCTGGTCCTCAAGGGCCGCTATCCAGCAGGTTTTAGTTGTTTCTCTGCTTAAACACACCTGGTTTGAATCTACTGGTGATTAACAGGCTGCTGCAGAGCCTGATGAGCTGCTGAACAGGTGATTTATCTAATAATCAGGCGTGTTGGAGCAGGTAAACAACTAAAACCTGTTGAATAGCAGCCCTCGAGGGCCAGGATTGCCCACCCCTGGGTATAACCCCTACCTCACACAGGAAGAATAGTTGGTGCGGTACAGCAGAAAGAATGCCGCGACGCGGACATTTTCAGGCACGTCCCAGAAGCGGCTTGCAGTGCCATGCTAAAGAAAGGATCAGGTTCTATTTTTGCTGTGAGCTGCTTCTGGGACACGTCGATTTCTGTAGCTAGCATAAGGCTAGACCGTAATCAGCATGGTTTCTGTGTAAAACCTCTGGTAATTAAAAAATAGACAGTTGGTGATTTCTGTCTATATAGATATATAGCATGTATATAGATTAATCAATTAAGATTATGTCAACACGTGACCTTACTCCTGGCATTGTTCGAGAAGTGCAACAATGTGTTTTTATAGCTGTCATACATGAGGAGAACATCATATGTGACATCACACAGCGAAATCTAATGTGATTTCATTCTTTTTGGTTTAATGGCGAATGACATTAAAAAAACGTGAACTTTGAAGTCTCGAGGGACTTTGTGAAGCAAGGACGATGGCAGAGCTGAGATATGAGAACTGAGATTCTCCTTGTATGCAGCTTGTGAGTAAACCGTTCCGCTGATGCCTCCATTGTGAAGTGGGGGTGAAGTTAGTCCTAGTCCCCTTTTCCCTGTCCAGTGGTGTGTGTGTGTGTGTGAACTGCTCGTTAACTGCTTCTCTGATGGAGTGGGGGGCTGTTGCTCTCAGGAATCGCAGAGTGGGCCGTTTTGTCCTGGAGTTCCCGATGGACAGTTCACCTCTGCTGGTGTGTTGCAAAAGCTGCTTTCTTATGCTCCGCGATGCTCTTCTTAGAATCTTAGGGTTAGTTATGAAATGGGTGGAATTCTATCTATCCTTGCTCTGAAAGGTTCAAAACAGCATGATACTTTTCCTTAAACTAATAAATAATCAAGTCACAGAGATCAACAAAAAATAAATATTGAAGACAGATTTATTTATCGTGTGTCAAAGTTCCCGAAATCTGCTTTCTATTAACCTGGTCTGCCAGACTTGCCCTCTGTCTATTCCACAAAGAGGACGAGTCTGGGTACTCAGAGGCAGAGAGCACCACAACGGGCAGAAAAATGGTGGAAATGACGACTTTATTGCGCGACACTGTAGTTTTTTAGCTGTAGTCAAAGATGACGTCTGGCGATGGCTCAAACATCTTTCTTTAGAAGAAAGGCTTGTAGCATATCTTCATGTGGTTTTAAAGACATGTCCAGGTCATATACAGTAAAGGCCAAATGTTTGGACACATTCTCATTCAATGTGTTGTCTTTATTTTCATGATTATTTACATTGGTAGATTCTCACTGAAGGCATCAAAACTATGGATGAACACATGTGGAGTTATGTAATTAACCATAAAAGGTGAAATAAATGAAAACGTGTTTTAGATTCTATTTTCTTCAAAATAGCCTCCCTTTGCTCCGATTACTGCTTTACACACTCTTGGCATTCTCTTGATGAGCTTCAAGAGGTAGTCACCTGAAATGGTTCTCCAACAGTCTTGAAGGAGGTCCCAGAGGTGTTTGACACTTGTTGGCCCCTTTGTCATGAAAATAAAGAACACACATTGAATGTGAAGTGTGCAAACTTTTGGCCTGTACTGTAGAACAGAGGAAAGAGCCACAGCAAACTCTTGTTTCAGACGCCGTCTTGGTTGTTTATGAGAAACTGAGGTTGCCGGTGTGTGACATACGCTGCTCAGTGCTGATTGGCTCAGTTAGTATTCTCAAGGGGTGGGGTTATTTGAATGGGAGCATTAGCGAGCCCATTGCTTCCCATAAGGAAGCATTGGAATGGCTGGCCAGGCTAGCTTTTTATGGCCTTGATGCATCAAAGAAAGCAAAGGATGGACAGTGATAGTTAAAATATTTCAAAGGTCCTGGTGAGGCTGTCCAAATATTTAACACAGTTTTATTTGCATCATCCACATCATTGTTTTATTGCCACTTTCAAGGCACCACACCCTCACACACACACACACCATGCTGTATGTACAGCTTTTACTCTGGACGATGATGTCATATCAGAGAGATTTGGAGGCTCTCCAGATCTAACCGACACATGTTCAGAATCTAAATCTTCTTTACTTGTCACCAAGCTTTGGCTCAAGCACACACACACACACACACACACACACACACACACACACACACACACACACACACACACATGCACACACAACAGCTGAAAACACACTAAACCTTGACCCGAATTCTCAACTACACATTCATGAGGATCTCAGAGCAGATTTTCTCCACAGCCCAGGAGAATGAACTTAATCCTTTACTATCTGACACTGTGTTTGTCTGTAAGTCTGTTCTGACACCAGCCATTAGGTAACTGTCTCAGCATGTCTGGTTGGAGTCACTCAGCTCTGGGACAGAAGCAGATTATTCACTTGATACAGAACTAGAAGGTGGACTGAATTGGACCTGCTTCTGTTTTTCTAGCAGTGTCCTGAAACGACATTTGTTGTGAAAATGCTGTTAAATCCAATAGAACTGAATCCTCCTCAGCCATCACCAGGGACACTGCTTGAAATTCACTTCTTGTCCTGGTGGCGGTTTTACAGTGCTGGCTGTAAATTCAGAAGCACGTCAGGGGTCCTCGCTGAATAAGAACCTCTTCATAAGTCTATATCTGCATGGATATGCTCCCAAAAAGGACAAGAGAACTTGAAGCGCTTATTCCTTCTGAATGTTTGTTTGCAACCCACTTCAATAAACAATTGATGCGTTTCTGCTCATAAATTGCAGTGTGCAGGATCCCTATATGAGCTTTGATGAGACCTTTTGAGTATTCAAAGCGAGTCTGAGAAGAGATGCTCCACAATCCCACAAAGAGGCAAGAGGGGTCCATCTCCCAGTTATGAATTCCATCCACATCCAGCCATTAGGGCAGTTGGTGTTCCTCTGAAGCACGTTTTGGTCTTGGCGTTGTCTCCTGGTTTTTTCCTAACCCCCGTTATGCTGGTTTGAAGTAAGAGAGGATGACGGCAGTCATGTTTCCCTCCTGACTCGTCTGCGAGACTCTGACACTAAGCCCATTATGCTTCCATTATGGAGCCTCAATTTTCCTTCAAGCTTTTCACTTTTGACACTGCAGCTCCCTCCTTCTGCAAACCACACAGTCTTCAGTGCTGCTTCTGAATATTTATGCTTTCCCTTTTCTTTTATACATACAGGTGAAAGGTAATTAAGTGGGATTAAGAACTGCTTAAAGTAAAGACGCTTTGTTTTGTATGGCTTTAGGATGGTCCTAAAACGCAAAACAAATCTAAGTCCTGAGCAACTAGAAGATGAAAGTCATTTACAAAAGATAAACAAACTTAAAAAAAACAGTGATGTCAGCCGTTTTCTGAGGCTTTTCCCAGCATTAAGAAATCCAATGTTTACTTTTGCAGACTTTCATCTCGATTGGTACGAGTTCAGCTCAACGAGGGACGCAGGAGAACCGTAAACATTCAGTTTTTCTACCATTAATACTCAGTTTAATCCATTCATATTGTTCCATTAAGTGATGACTGTGTGTCACTGAGCAACACAGACGCAAGAAGAGATTTATGAAACTGAAGCAATGGCATTAAAATGGGTTTTATTTGTTTTTTTAAGAAAGCCCAAGGAGAAAGTTTCCTTAAAGAGAAATACAGTCAGATTAAAAGAAGTCGTGTGACATGAAATAAATCTAGAGATATCAGCTTGACATCTGGACTTTTATTGTATTATTGCAAGACCTTTATTCTTTTCCCCTAGTTGTAGATTAGCTGTTGTGTTTGGGGACATGATTTCCAGAGGTGTACTCATGTTTGAGATAATTTTCTCGTCAACTCCAAGTGTGACTGCAGGTTTTGTGGCTGGAATCACTACACTTCTACCACCGTGTTTGATGGGCAGTTTTTTGATGAGGTGTGGCTTCAAACTTGGCCCTGTGCATCGTCAAACCTCTCTACTGTGGTGTTTGTGTTCAAATGACATGGTTCAGATGTCCAAGGGCTTTGTCAAACACAAATAGCCTTTCTTTTGTTTGTTTGTCTTCTGGGGAAAGATGCTTTCTCTCTCAGCTGCTTTGGTTTTCGTGCTGGTGAAATCCCTGGATGTTGATCTAAACAAGCTCTAAAGTTTCCCTACTGTTTCATACTGTTTATCATAATTTCCTCTGTAGAGAAAAACACTTTGAAATGGTCATCTACTTGTTTTTGATTACTTTTAGGCTACAAGGACTCCCTTTCTAAGGTCATGACTTTGGTTTTGCTGATGACTAATAAATCAAGCGCATCTGTAGCATCTGACTGATTCTTTCTTATATCTTACATAAGTACTAGTTTTATCTGAGTTTTTACTACAAATGTTGCCTTGATAATTTACCAAGTGCTTTTGTTTATTTCAGGTCAAATTTGTCTTATTTAAAATAAAAATCAGTTTTTTATTGTATTGAAGTGTAAAATTTTAATTTTTAGGAATATTTTCCTTTTTATAGTTTGTTCATCAGCATTCTGCACATTGTTTTTTATTCCTTATGCCTTTTTGTATTTTCTCTTTGCCCCTTTTCAATTCTTTCTCCCTCTTCTACAAAACCCATGCAGGCCTAGACGTCCATACAGACCATAATAGTAGCATGCTCAGCATGTTGGTCTAGCCACGCTCCATAGGAGCCACAGCAGGTCCACCACTGGCCTGAACAGTATTCTGTTATGCCAATCACAGCGATCTACTGGTTCTGTGGGCCAATCACAGAGCTCTACTGGTTATGTGGGCCAATCACAGCTCTCCATTGGTTTGGTGGACCAATCACAGACCTCTACTGGTTCTGTGGACCAATCACAGTGCTCTTTCGGTTTGGTGGACCAATCGCAGCACTCTACCATTTTGGTGGGCCAATCACAGTGCTCTACTGATTCTGTGGGCCAATCACAGCACTCGGTTTGGTGGGTGGGATGAAGTGACGGAGCAGAACAGCAAAGATGGTGGCAGCTCATTTCAAATGGAAACTTTGAAATTTGGGGTTGAGCAGATAAAGGTACATAAGTCTTTTATTTAGAAAACTTATTTTTTTTGCATCTTCTTTGACAATGTATGGCAGACATGTTGTTTGACATCTGTAGGTTTGTATGTCATGTTGATTTTTTGTCCAATAGTATGCAGAGAAAGTTTGAAAGACAATCATAGATTCCACCCCACGACTGAGCTATCCACTAATATCAGGACTATTGTTCTGTAATTACGTCATGCCTGTATGAACACTATCATCAGTGTGGTCTCCTGGGGACATCTCAGTGAAAACGTCTGTGTTTCTGTATGGAACAGCTTCCAACCTCGATGACGTCCCTGACAATCCCGTTTGACTCCAGCTCCTCTTCAAAACTCGCTCAGTCGTTTGGATCATTGTGTGCTGCAGGGTTGGAGGAAGCTGTTTGAGGAGAAACATTTCCTTTCTCAGCACTGAGATTGACTTTGGGTCCAAAACACATTCTCTCTGTTTGCATGTTTTTTATTCCAGTTTGCTTCATAGAAGGAGAAAAGAAGCAGTTTCCTTTAGGAAGTTCGAAATAAAAGCCTTGCGATCGATGATAATGGTATTTGTGCTTGTGTTTGTCATCTTCGCAAAAGCAACAGTGGTGGATTTTCCACAGATTTATTTGTATACTAGCGCTGTAAGTGGCATGTAAATTATCCTAACTGTCCGTGTGGCTCTTTGTCTTTGTAAGCCACTTCTATTAGACCCTATCCATTAATGCCCATAGCCCAGCCAATCAATGCTTAAATAAAAATCAGCTCAATTTGTGGCGTTTTATGCAAACACCTAAACGAGACTGAGTGTTTGCTTTTTGTTTATATAATGCAAAAGAAAAAAATTAAACAATAGCTGAAACAAAGGAATCGATAGCACTTAGGTTTGGGTTACACTCAGATTAATGCACCACATTCCTGCATGGAAATGAGTTTCATAAGTTTTGGTGTGGTTTCGTTATAATTCATTTTATTTCAATATATTTGCTTTAATTATAGCCAGCACCGCAGCTTATTCCTTGTCCAGCGGCACTTTCCCCTGTTCGGAGGGGGCTGACGCTGAGAAAGGCTCCAGTGGCTGAAATATTGAACAAATTAAGTTTTTTTATTTCACAAAAGATGCTGGAGTAGTGGAGTTTAAGCTGAAACCTTCAAAAACATAATATAAACCCACATAACTGACTGAATTGTGTTAAAATGTGTTTAAAATAGCACATTACATGCATCCAGAACACACCTGCAACACTTATTAAAATACCAAACTCTAATTTTAGTCAGAAAAGCTCAAGTGGAGTTCCTGCAGAAAGTTTTGTTTTAATCATCTCAACATTTCACTTTGTGCAGCAATAGATCCAATGCATGTGTTCTTACATTCAGGGACAAAACCTTGAAAGATTCTTTCATGCATTAGTCAAAGAAACATCTGGTGTAGTTAGAAAAAAATTACAAATGATTTGCAGCAAGAAGGAGAAGACTGAAAATGACTACCTTGTCACGTGTCTGTGAAGTGCTGTATTGTTTACCACTTAAATTCCTCTGTAGTGCACTCTGGGTCTTACCAGGTCATGTTCTTTAGAATCACTGATTTAAACCTAAAATGCTCTGTTTTTCCTAAACTTAACAATGGTCTTGTTTGAAAAACTTCCAATACTTCTGTTTTAATTCCCATTCATTTATGTTGGTAAATAAACTTTCTGTGCACAGCAGTGCAGCATTTTATAAAATAACTGCATGAGCTACTGTACACTTTTGGAAATTGGAGCTTTTTAAAGGTAGCAGTAATACATTTAGGATTTGGCTAAGCTTGGCTAGGGTCAACAATATATTAACACTTTTTTTTCTCAAAAATGAGATTAGCTTTTATCTCATCAGTCCTAAATGACATCCGAGCTAGTTCTTTAAAAAGAACTCCTTCTTATCCCCTTCCTGCAATTCCAACATATTTTAAATGGTACAAATTTGCCTCGTCATTCATGAATCGGTGTTGGTCCGAATCCACGGAAGTAATGGTTCCCATGTGTGAAGGCACCAGTCTCCCAAAAACAACGTTTATGAATGGCTAATATGTTGTAACCATTTGTTATAAATCAGTAAATGTATTTTACCTCACAGGCTCCCGTAGAAGGAAATATGGCGTCCAATATGGCGCCACCCAGAGAGTTAGACCTGCTTCCGTGTATTTTAGACCTGATTTTTATGGTTATATGTTACATTATTTTTCAGCACCTGGGCATCATTTCATTCATTTTCAACAACATTTCGATAGATATTTCCGGAAATTAACAGTAAAAACTACAAATGGTCTTTTTAAAGCATAGTTTGTGATTTCAGAAACCTTTCTATGAAAATCTTGTTAAAATGTACAAAAGAGTGAAATTTATCACACCTGGCCCAGTGGCTCTCCGTGGGCTCAGCACCCCTAAACCTCTGCTCTTAGACCTGCCCCTGCTAGCACATTTGCCCATATTTCAGTAAACACCACACAATTGGTTAACAGTCCGGGGATTATGGGTAGATTTGACAGCGCTGCAGTCTGCCCCTGCGTCTCTTTAGCACTGAAAGGATCAGAGAAACAGCCAGCAAGGCATCTGTTTCAGCGCTTGTTTTATTTCCCCTCCTTCTTTCCTTCCTCATTGTCTCTCTTCATGCATCTTTCTTGTCACCCCCACTCGCACAGCGAGAGAGGAAAACAGCATCGATCACTGTTAAATGACTGACCACTGCCCGTTGGTGGTACTAAATGCATCTCCACAATTGAATAGAGGCCTAAGTGTGTGGTAAATGCTCTCAATGGGTAAATGAATTTGTGGGTTAACTCGCTCTAAGAGTGTTTCGATAAGGCAAAATAATAAAAACACCAACAGGACGCATTTTTCTTTAGTTATATTAAGGATAAAGTCTAGCTGAAACTCTTAACTGGCACATTCATCACCATGAGCCTGGCGGATTAAAGAGAAAAGCACTCGAGGGTAACCCAAAGACAATTCAGCTTTATTTTCCTCATATAGATTTAACTGTACACAGTTCATACCATTACACAGAAGGCATAAATGAATAATTCCAGTGCTCTCTTTTACATCTTTTTCAAAGACACATGGCAATAATAAATAGCGCTCATGAAACGGGACGATCTACTGGTTCCAAACTGTACAAAATTTACAACAAGAGGCAACACAGACGTAACAAAACAGTAGTGATGATTTCTCCTGTGGTGCTTTTTTAATAGAAAATCTTGGATTACAGCCAACAAATTACTACCAATATAAACCAGTGTACCCCCTACTGGGTATCTATCAGTCGCCACAAAGGAAGAAAACAAGAAATTAATTATTAAATGATAATATAACTTAATATTTGCGACAACTTGGCCATGAAAATAAAAAAATTCAAAACACAAAGGCTTCTAAATCAGAAGTGCATTCATTATTTAACAAAAAAATTAGAAAATGTATTAATAAATAGTGTAAAATAAGAGTAAATTATTCATTACTCAAACACAGCATCATGTCCTCGTGGTCTAATCTCATCTTCTTCCTCCGATTCTCACATAAATACAAACAAAGTTTGTTTTGTAATTTCTCTGTAGTTTGTAGGCTGTAATCCATCGCTTTCTGCATTCATGTCACTTCCTGTTTCTTTATATTTTTCTGGTAAAAGAGAATTTTTAAAAACAAGACCTTGCCCATTTTCTTTTGTTACAAAAAGGTGCTCGTGTCAGCTGCTTCCTCCAGAGCAGAAACAGGAGCAGAGAAAAGTTCAGGATGATCGTGTTTTTAAAAACTTCACTTAAATCAAAACAGTCGTTGCTTCTGGCATGCGTAACAGGTCAATACCGATTGGTTTAGGTTCTTTTACATATTAGAAGTTTTCAGGAAAGTCACTAACAAAATTTCTGTAAATGATTGACCTGTTCTTGTTTGTAGTGTTGGCATTAAGGTGCATCTGATGGCCTCTGAGAAACAACCCAGCAGTGATGCTAAAGTGTGAGTGCTGACTGTGGTTTTGTTAATCCGTCTGACACAAAGGGCCAGGCGGTAAGCAGACAGGCTGACAGCACATCTGGAGTCGGGAAGTAGGTTGATAGCAGGGAAAGCTCAGGCTGCTGAGAAGATTACCAGGAGAAGCCCTGGATCTGACAAAAGAGAGCTGGCATGAGCTAATGCTTAAAAACAAACCAGTGTTCCTTTTAATACGTCACGGTGTCTCAAATCCACTTTTTAATCCTCAACAGTTTCTGCAAAGGAAGCTGCACGTCTTCTACATGAATATCTCTTATGCAAGAATAAATAAAGCAATTAATTCAGACGCAACATCTCTAAGTAAGGTGTTTGGAGCTGGGTGACTCAGAAATATCAAACGCTTCGACTGTCTTGTAACATGTTCTGCCCTCATGCCGACTCCTCGTGTGAGACGTTTAATACTGACAGACATTCTCTCTGAAACACACAGAAACAAGTCGAGCACCTGTAGAGTCGCCCGGCGTTTTGCAGCTTTCACCCTCAGTCAAGCAGCAGAGATAAGAGTTTCTGAAACGGACGCACAAACCGACAGCCACCTATTTTCCAAATACTCGTTAAGCTTCAGCAATACATAAAAAAAACATGAGCATGTTTCAAAATTCACACTTGTGCCACTGCTTTTGTAAATTTCTCTCCGAGTGAAACACTGTTTTTGCCTTGTGCATATTTCTCTCTCCTCTGCATTCCTGTAGAAAAGGATGAGGAGAGTAAAGTGCATTGCCAACGTGAAGGCTGTGATGTGGCCTGACAGCAGTTCTGCTGGGGACCAGTCAGAAGCATGCAGGTGCATCTGGGTGCCTGCAGAGACTGCAGCCATGGATGGTGTGGATTCTGTCAGAAATGAGACAATAGCATATTCCAGCCATGTATTGGAAGTATTTTGATATGATAAAGATTTAATTTCATTGAGGGACTAAAAATAAACTTAGGTAATAATAAAAATTCTGTGATATGATGCTGAGATGAATTAATCACGGAAGTGTTCTTCACTGTTTTTGTCCAGTCTCTCATCTCAGCCTGGTTGCTGAAGTCACCTTTTCTGTCCATTTTTTTTCTTCACCAAACATCACAAGTTAAACCAGTCTTGGAGTGAGGGGAATATAAAAAGAGGAACCGTTTGAGTCCACTTTCTACCCAGCTGAAGGCTCAGAACTGGGAATGGTCCATCTCATCCAGCCACGAGGCCGGGCTGGTGGGGAAGTCGGGGTATCCTGTACTGCTGCCTGTGGAGAGGTCTGAGGTGGGGCCTCCCGCCATGGCCCTCAGAGCCTGTCCCACACCACCCGCCCCCCCCTGTGCCACAAGACTGTCCATGTTAAAGCCCAGGTTGTTTAGGAGAGGTGTGTGACCAGGCAGGGAGGTGATGGAGGAAGGTGACTGGGGAAGGCCGTAAGGACTTCCTGCTCTGATGTCGTGGTAGGGCTGTCCCGCCGCGTCAACGGAGAAGCTGCCATTCAGCACCGCGCTGCTGGTCACATCACCGACGCTCCCGTAAAGGCCGTTGGCGTGGCTCAGATCTGACAGGACTTGATCATCTGCAAAGGAAATGGGATTGCTCACAAGATCTGGGACACACCAGCAGCAGCGTCACCTGCAGCACATTATTTAGCTGTTATGTTTCAATACAGTTAAGTGCTTTTATGAGTCTGATTTATTATGCAACATTATGTGTGTTTGGTGGAAGTGGATTTTCCATCACAAAGCATTCTGATTGTGTCAGTGAAAAAGTTAGAGCAGGTGCTTGTTCTTCCCTGGCACGTTTTATTAAAACATTGAGAGAAACACATTTAGCAGAGAGGTTTCAGGATTCCTTCCAGCAGAATTTAAGGCATCAAAAGCGTACGGCTCAGATAAAGTAAAGAGCATAAAAACAGTGAAGAGCTGGAAAAAAGCTGCATTAGTTGCATCATAAAACTATAGATGTTTTTCTAAATAAAGGCCTTGTTTGATGGTGAAATTTCCCCACCTGTACATGAACATGTGACATTACTGCAGCATCAAAAATATTTGTTTTCACCTCCAGTCGATCTCCTGGGTGGCTTGGGTAACAACAAAACCCCAGAGCACTTCCTCTGTAATTGACTAAAAGCTTCACACTCTTTATAGAGTTTCTGTCACTGTGTTTTCATTTCTTAGAAAAACAGCTTTCTTTTTCAAAGTGGCTCACAGCCATCCCAAAAAGAGGGCTTGTGAATATTAAACAACAAATGGATCCATCAGCATCCCACTGAGGCACCATGCTCATTCCCATCACAAAAACAAGCAGAAGCAGGAAGCATCGGCAGTCCAACAGCGAGCTCTGAATCAGAACGGCGTTTTAGATTTGCTGCTGCTCCCTAATCGTCATGTCTGTATCTGACTCTAACCCCAACTCATCAGGTGTTTCTCTCTAAAAGACAATTAAATAAATAAAAATACCTCTGAAGCTCAGTTCACTGTCGCTGAGTCCCGCATCATCCGCTGAACTCTCCTTCTCCACCTTGGTTCCTCCTCGGCTGCGTTTGACACTTTTATAGAACTGAGTCCAGCGGTGCCGACCCGCATCTTTCTTCAGACGCTTCTCCTTTGCTCGCCGGTTCTGGAACCAGACCTGATGGGCAACATGAACGTTAGTAAACAAGTACCATTTTAATTAAAGCATCATCCTGAATCAGTGCATGCTCATTTGTATTATATGACACATCCTGATGCCTGGCAGCGTCAAATGCTGTTTAATTCTGTTATAATTGTAACTAAGCTGCAAATACACATCAGCAATTATGTTAGAATAAAAACTGAATATAAGTCCAAGATTTTATCATCACTTAAACTACAACAACAGTTATACAATAGAAGGTCAAATGCTACAAAACACAGTGGTTTTAGGGTTGTTCAGACACACTGAAACTTCAAAGCTAAAGCCTTCGACGTGTTTGTCTTTACTCCCATAAATAGGGCCAACTTTTGTTAAAACAACCACAGATACCCTGTAAAAACTGGTTAGCTCACCTTGTTAGGAGAAAAATTCTTACTGCACTTAACATTAAAAGTAGGTAATTATGAGCTACTAATACTTAGAAAGTAAAATGTATAAAATACAAGTTACTATAACTAAAATGGACCAGTGCATAGTACTAGATTATCTGAATGAACTTGTATTTCTAAGTCATATATACTTAAGCAGTAGTAAACAATGAGCAAGTATGTACATTTTACTGAGTTGTCCTAGTCATACTAACTTGCATTTAAGTGCATTTCACTGTGTACACAGTAGTAACTCCAGTGCATAAGTACATAATCCTGCGAACTTGTCATTTTAAGAGTTGTCAAACATGCCGTCACTACCAGATCTTTATGAAAGTAACCTGAAGAAACATGTTCTTTAATGCAAGTGTTTAACAAACCTGATGAAATACAATACATATTGTTGTTTCAAACAACATAAGCTTTTTGTTGTGGGCATGTTTGTTTATTTTTGATATTGTGATAATGCAAAGCAAGTTTACCTTCAGGTAAAAAAAAGTCTTTGAGTTTAAGTTTGAGATACTGTCATCCTGTTGCAATAGGAGAGCTCAGCTGCTGCATTTCGTTTCACATAAATGACTGAAAAGACAAACACTCCACCTGCACGACTCTCATGTCCAGGCCTGTCTCTGAGGACAGCTGTTCTCTGACGTGGCGTGCCGGCTTAGGCGAGTTTTTGTAGGCACTTTTGAGGGTCTCCAGCTGCTTGGCGGTGATGGTGGTCCTCGGTCGCTTGGTCCCTGCCTCCGAGTCGTCTGAAAACACAATCACAAGTGTGAGCGGCACCCCCTTCTCCGTGTATCCCTCAGCCTGTGTGTGTGTGTGTGTGTGTGTGTGTGTGTGTGTGTGTGTGTGTGTGTGTGTGTGTGTGTGTGTGTGTGTGTGTGTGTGTGTGTGTGTGCGTGTGTGTGTGTGTGTGTGTGTTAAATGAAGTGAATGGGCATGCGTGGCAGTGTATTATTGTCCTTGTGCATCTGTCCCACTCCCACAGCAGAGGACATAAATCTACTCGATGCCAGAGGAGAGGAGTTATTGGAGCCGCACCATATAAGAGCACTGGTTCACTTTACATAATCAATCAGAGATGCATGGAGATCTCAGAGGAGAAGGAGGGACGGAGGCAGCACACACAAACACACACACACACACACACACACACACACACACACACACACACACACACCCAGATGACAAACACTAAAGATCCACAGTCAGAAGTTATTTCTCTGCACTGAAGAGTGAATACAGCTTGATCTATCGTGCTCTTCTTCAATTCTGATGCAGCAAAGTTAAGTCAGAACCCTTTCAGCACTGAAACACATTAGTTGTAAATGTCCTGACAGTACAGCTTTTCTCTGTTCTTTTGCTGTTGTAAATAAGCATATGCACACCTACCATTTTGTTTGGCTGTCTCATAATCCACCTTGCACACCAGCCTCCCATCCTCCATGAGGTAAAACTCATCGCCGGTGGCCAGCTGTCTGCTGCACATGATGCAGGAGAAGCAGTGCAGGTGATACACAAAGTCCTGTGCCTTTCGCACAACCTGCGTTGGAGGGATGCCCTGTTGACATGACGCACACTTTGTTCCAAAGCGCCTGACGGAAAACATGAAGCACAGGTAAGCCATCAGAACTGCCTTATATGTGAATATGAATTATTTATTCAAATGCAGATAAGGATGTTGAGAAAGGCTGGTTCATTAGAAGCTGCAGGTGTGGAGGAGAAAAATAAGGCACAGGGATGGAGGGCATTTCTAGACTGACAGACAGGATAAATTAATTTTGAGGTGTCATGTTTATGTGTTTGCAGGGAGCCAAAGAAGAGAAAAAGAAGGTGGAGGAAGGGTGCATGCAGTAAACACACCCGGAAGAGAACCAATAAAACTCCGACTCAGGGAGGCTTTAAATCACAGGGGTAACCACACAAAAATGAAAAACTGAGCAAAGCGAAGCAAACACCAGTAAATCTTTGCGTGTCTGAGGAGTTTGGCGATGCCAGCGTGCCCTCTGTGCCCCTCTGGGTCAGCTAACACAGTTAGTTACCAGTTAGACTCCAGAGCTCTTCAGGTCCCATTCAAGCTTTGAGCATTAAAACCTTTCAAACATGATTTAGTAAAAAGCCCAGATCTGCGGATCCCGTTTGGATGAAAGTCAAATTCAATTTTCTTCTGTAATGCTTCTGAAATCCAATCATTAGAAAGAAAAAAGACAAAATGGCAAGATTTTACAAAAAAAAAGGAATTTTTATTCAAAGCTATGTTAACATGACATGTGAATAATCCTAATGTTATGAAAATGTTTGTTAATTAGACTAAATTCATATAAGAAACTACATGTTCGTAGTGAACTAGACCAAATGCTTGCGTTGCAAAGTATTTTATTATTTATTCTGGCTCGCCAGGCTAACATGTTCTGGCAAGTTATGGGAATAAAGATGTAAGTCTCTGTCATCAAAAATCTAATCCAGACACAACTGATTACCAGATATTTTGTCACAAAAATTAAATAAAGTTGGTCCAAATTGATTGAAAATAACTTAAATGTTTAAACCAAATTTGACTTTCGAATACAAAAAAAAAAGATTCCAAATAATTAAATGTGAATTTGACACATTTAATTTATATTTTTAAAAGTCGATTTCAACTAAACAAACCCCTCTCTTGTTTATATTTTCTTATATGTGCTCCATATTGTTTATCGGGTAAAATGCTGCTTTATTGAAAAAGAAACGTTGCGGATTTAACGCGTGCAGCCCAGATGATTAGAAAAACAGGACTTACACACTGTAGAAGAATACATTAGGAGCAGAGAGAAAGGCGTACTGACTTGAAGAAGTCATCCTTGCAGTAGACGCTGCCTGCTCGGGAGAAGCATTTGTCCGCCAGCGGAGTCTGACAGTCTGCGCACTTGAGGCACTTGGAGTGCCAGTGTCTGTCCAGCACCTTCAGGATGAACTTATCCAGGATGTGCTGACTGCAGCCGGCACACTGAGGGATCTCTGCCATGGGGGACAAGAACAAGTCACAATGGGCTTGAGGGGGGAAAGGAGCTGATCATTGAAAAGTGTTCACAACGGCATGATTTGGTTTGTTGGTCAGGAAGTATTCGTACAATTTTATCTTATTTATATATATATATATATATATATATATATATATATATATATATATAGAGAGAGAGAGAGTCAGTTTTTAAGTGTATGTTTATTATAAAATTTATATAAATAAAGACGCTGCGATGTCGCTCTGATTTATGCCAAACGCGTTTTTCTCAACCCCTTTTAAAACTGCTTTTACTTTATTTGATTTTTTACCTTCCACCAAAAGCATCTCTTTTCATTTTAAATAAAGTACATTTCCATGATCTTTGAAGCTTTTTCTTTACAGAGAAAAACAATTCTGAAGGTGTTTTTGGCAAAGAGAACCCCGTGAAGATGTCTGTCACTGTCCAAGGTGCTGATCTCAGAGCTGCACGCCTGCAGAGCAAAAATGCTTTTCTGACGACATATTGATTTTTCTCCTCCGTCTTAATTTCGTTTGCTCGTTCCATCTCGATCTTAATTAATCTCCTAATGATTTTATGGAAAGCATGGTGACAACCTGTAGGTGAGGAGGCTTGTGGATGTAAATCAAGGTCAAAGCGAGATTATTTTTGGGACTGAAAACAAAGGCTGCAGAAACACGTGTCTTTTCACTACAGCCTTAGCCAAACTTTATATTTCTAAAATAAAACCAATATTTGATGTTTATTTTACAGACATTATAAGTGCATCGCTGGTTTTTGTTCTCCTTAAATAGTTATCTATGACTGATTTTGATTCTCCTTATTCGTTTTCCATACATCCATCCATTTTCAGCCGCTTATCCAGAGTCGGGTCGCGGGGGTAAGGCGAGAGGCCGAGACTCTTTCCAGCCACTTGGGCCAGCTCTTCCGGGGAAACCCCAAGGCGCTCCCTGGCCAGCCGAGAGACATAATCTATCCAGCGTGTCTTGGGTCTTCCTTTAGGTCTCCTCTCAGTTGGACGTGCATGGCCGGAAAACCTCACCAGGGAGTCGTTAAGGATGCGTCCTGACCAGATGCCCGAGCCACATAAACTGGCTCATTTCTTATTCGTTTTATATTTAAAAACAATAAATAAACAACTAATTACAAATTATTTGAGGTGAGAATATATAGGTTTTGTTATATAAAAATAAACAATATGAGAAGAAGATTGCAGCCCTAAACTCACGCAGCAGAGCTGTTTATTTTGGAGAAAACCTCTCAACTTTAAAATCAGCGTATAAAGCCCTGGGTGTTTTAATCCCATCTCCTCGACACCAGCCTGAAAAACAAAACGCTGCAGACCAGACCGCGTATGCATTTTATACATCTCCCCTTTCATAATTATTTAATTGAGTGAACTAAAATGAAATTTATAATATCAGATAGATTTTGTAATTTACACATTTCAGTAGAATTTGACTTTTAAAACGTTAACATACTGGCTCTCTGTCCAGGGTGTACCACGCCTGATTGCCCATTGACCGCTGGAGATAGGCACCAGCTCCCCCCGCAACCCTAGCGGGTTCAGAAAATGGATGTATGGATGAAAACGTTAATAATGTAGAGTAAACGCAAAACTGTATTTCTGCACACGCACGTGCTGGGTTGGCTCCGTTTAATCCAAAACTGAATTAAAAATGTTTAAAAATCGGCCTTTAAATGTGAGTAAACATCTGGAACATCTGGAGCAGAGTGGTGGGTGGATGGAGCTGAGACGAGGTGCTGAAATAAAAGCAGCACGATTCTTGGCAACGGAAATCCTCCAGCTTCAGTGCGCGTGCGCGAGCGCGCGAGAGGCAGAGGACCTCGTGGATCCAGAACGTTTCTAAGCAGGTTTCCACGTTTCTCTTTTCTGTTCCCACAGGAAGTGCGTCACTTTAACTCTCATTTTAATTAATCAATGGATTTTTAAAATCTGAAGTGGACACTCGTTAATCCAGACTAAGATCGGGCTGTTAACGGTTTGGATCCAGTCGCAGTCCTGAGTCAGCTGAGCTTTCAGTGCATGATATAAAATGCTCAGATAGTTTCTCTCACTGGTAAAATAATCCAGGTTTTACTGGGTCCTGGCGCCGCAGGAGGCTGAGTGGCAGGATCTTTAACCAATCTTTTAATCTGTCTCGATTTATAAAATTAAAGAGCATAAGCCGACCTCATTTAGACTGTCTTCGGGTTTAAATATGCCCAACAAACCTAAATTCACACAAAATAAATCAAAGCGTCCAGTTTTTCATCAAATATTAAATATTGTTGCAAATCTGTGACTATTTAAAAATACCGAATGTTCTTGGGGTTGTTTTGTAAATAATCTCATGAAGCAGCAGTGCGGTAATAAACTCAGCATCATCCCGTTTTGTCATGGATTATTTTCGGGGCTGGTCGCCTATTAGCCTCTCCATCTGTACATTTTAACTCGCCTATTAAAAATAATTAGGTCAAAGCAGAAACGGATCCAGTTGCACGTCAATCTTACTCCATGAGATTATATGAAGGGGGCTACACAACAAAACAACAGATGTAAAGCATTTCTGTTTGTGCTAAAAGGCAGAACATGATTAACTCTTATAATAATGATGTTAATAATAATGAAGTGTTGGTAATAACCCGTTTGTGAGTCAGAGCTTGAAATTAGATTAAACTGTGGAGCTTTTTAATTTGACCAATAATGAGTGTCAGGCAAAGCCAAAGTGTGTTCCTTTGACGGCGATGATGACAACTGCGTCTGATCTCTTGACCACGCAGCCTCGTTTACAAATTAACAGCCTCAGTGTGTGTGTGTGTGTGTGTGTGTGTGTGTGTGTGTGTGTGTGTGTGTGTGTGTGTGTGTGTGTGTGTGTGTGTGTGGCAAAGTTTGAGGCCGAATCAAAGAATCAACCCTCCCATTTTAATATATCAAACTTCAAAATCAGAGGAAATAAAGAACTAGCTTTTCTGCTGCTGCAGGTTGCAGGTGGCTGCAGACACATGCTGGATGCTCGTGAAAGACTCTCGTCTAAAACGTATACCTACTTTTGCAGCTGGAACCCTGAGCAGCATGACACATCACTGGCCTGCAAGGCTTCAGGTCTCCTCTCCTCATCCTCTCACTGTAACTAAACCCCTCTCTCTGCGCGGGTCCCACTTTGCAGGACAGAAAAAAGGGGATTTAATAGTGTCTTACGTTGCAGTGGCACTCCGAGAATCTCCGGTAAACTCTTCACAGGACTCTCTGTCGGTAAGACCGCCGCACTTTGCATCATCGTGATCCGAAGCGCACGCACATACACCCGCAACACGGTGGGCGCACTCCCCCGTCCTGCCTAGTGTGCGGGGGGGAAACGCTGCTGGTGTTTTAGTCCCGTTTCCGCTCTGCAAACCAGTGTCCGGTGAAACCTCTATCCCAGCTCCCTGTCTAGTCTCACGGTGATGTCCGCGCCGTGCCGTCCCGCTCCGCGCTGTACTGAGCTGTTTTTGGAGTAGCTCAGACAGACTGCTCGGTCCATTCAGCGCTGCAGGGGCGGCGGGACCTGACGTCAGCGCGGCAGAGGCGCACCGGGGGCCAATAGGAGACAGGAAGAAGATGCCCCCTCCCACTTTCGGAGGAGGCGTCTTAGGTGTACATGAGAAAGGGAGACAGGAGAAGAGGAAGAGGAAGAGAGTAGCCCAACATGTAAAATGTCTCCGGAGATGCGGAACCTCGCTTATGAGAGCATAAAAGGCACTGCAGTGACTTCCAGAGGGGCCGCGGGCCAGGAAGACTTGGAGTCCACCAAGCCAGAAAAATGAGCATGCAAAAATGGAGCTGTGCTTTTCACAATTATTAGCAAATAAAAGGTGAAATTAAAAAAAAACGTAGCGACAGAAAGATGTTTATTTAGTTAAAAGACACAAAGTGCACGTGTAAATTCTACGAAAAGCTGCCATAATAAAACAAAAATTCTCTAAAAATAATATTTTCAGGCACCATGGTTAATATACTTCCTCTCTGAAGCGACAAGAAGCAGCATTGAGAGGATATTGTTGGACACGTGTCTGAGTCAAAGCCACAGGAACCTGGATCACCTGTAGGAGCACTTCCTGTCGCGAGCGGCAGTGACAGGTGGGATATAGGAGTCCGGACGCAATCCTCCTGACAGAGCTCATTTTAGAGCTCGTCGTCTGATGCTGCTCTCCCGGAGAACGTATTCCCTCTGGAGGCCGCGAGTTCAACCCAGATGAACTCAATCTTCGCTTTCAATTTACCTCATGCGCAGAACACACACACACACACACACACACACACACACACACACACACACACACACACACACACACACACACACACACACACACACACACACACACACACACACACACACACACACACACACCTGCATTACAGAGTCGCTTATTTAAAAAAGTTAACAGCTATTGCGTATAATTGCTTCATAAAGAACTCAAAACAAGCTCAAACTTGCACACAAGTGAGTGACCGCACTTAAAAAGTGCGTTTTTTTGTTTTTTTGTTTATCAAGTCACAACGACGTGCAAAACATATTTTGTTTTGCGCCGAAAGTGCATGAAATGTGCATGTTTTGATTTTTATCCCGACTTATCCCGTCGTTCTTCTGCTTTCTGTGTGGATTATTTATTATCTTATCGTATTACCGCCCATTCTGCTCTCACAATCCCGTTTGCATGCATGCGTGGAGTTTCTGGTGTGATTCAGTAAAATAAAAATAAAACTCAAACACATTAAGATGATTAAAAATGGACACATTTCTACCGATATGAGGCGTCAGTCTTCAAGTCAGGTCTATCCATCCATGCTTGTGGCCTTCTATGAACAATCTACGCTTTTTCTCCAAATCTCAAATGATTTAGTTTCTATGAAACTACTCTGATGGTTGTAATCGAGGTCCAGCAAAAACCCAGAAAAAAACGCTCTTAACTTGTCAGCAAATGGAAATTCAATTAGAATAATTGACGGATGTATAAACATCTGTTTTAGTGGGGCAATGGATGATCTGATGATAATTTCTTTCTTTTTTCATCTTTAAAATTACATAGAACCCTGCAGAGACGATTTCAGAATAATCCACATCGGATTTATGATTCTGGCATTTTAAAACTATAAAATATAAACGCTGACACAAAAATGTATGTTAAAAATGAAGCATTTTTACAAAGAAAATGCATTTTAACCAAGAGTAAAAAAAAGAAGAGCATACATGATCTGACAAACAAAAGATATTCTGAGCAGAATTAGTGGTTTTGTGTATAAAACGACAGGTGGAATAATCGGCAGCTCTGGGGTAATAACTCAAACCGAGGGCGACTCCTTTGCCACCTCCGTTGACCCAACCACCTCTAATTAGATCTAATATTTCAGAGGACGAGCTCATTGACAACAGTGACTCAGATCCATCTCACAGATCCATCTTCCTGCAGAAACATAGCCACGCACAGCAGCTTTTAGTGGAGCGTGACGCACGTGTGCAGAAGTGTGTCCATCAGATGCAAAACTGCGCAACTGTGTGCAAAAAGCCTCAAGATAAGATCTTTGAATTTATGGTTAAAACTACAGGAGCGTTTGTTTTTGTTACATCGCGCAACTTTGAACGAAATTAAGCACGATCACAAAAGTAAACACTTCATTTGCTGAATTAAGTGTTTAAAATGCACATCTCAAAAGTCAATAAGTGATTTCTGGCTTTTTCTGCCCATATTTGCAGACCTATACCTGTTTGGAGGCAGGGTGCTGGGTGTCGCCTCTCCTCTCTCTCCTCCTCCTCTTCCTCTGTGAGGCTTGCATCAGCAGGATGTGCCCGAACATCACCGACAAAACAACCGCAGCAGCTCCACACATTCCTTGGGCTTCCTCTGGCACAAAACACGTATCAGGTGCGCAGTGGAAGGCATCGCACATGTCCCAAAGCATTTGGTCCAAAAGCAGGAGAGGATGAGGAGCAGAGAGAGGGAGGAGAGGGGAAACCTTAGGGGAGAGCACCGAGGAGAAAATTAAATTGCACTTGGGGGGCAAATTGTATTAGGGAATAGTTATTGTCTCCTGACAGCTCCTGTCCATTTGGGTAATTAGTAGGAGAGATTGTAGAACAAACGGAATCCTTTCCCGTCAGAAATGATATTTTCAATTGCCTGATTGAACCTGACCCTGTTGTGTTGAGATGAGGCGGTAACAGGCTCGTTTCACTCCAACTACTCAGGACGCGGAGCAGAGGCTGGCAGATTAAAGATTAGATTTGGATTAGAAAAGACATTTACAAAAGTGTTTATTATCATTATAATGAATTTTCATATAATCTCTTTGGTGTCCACACCAAGAAAAAACTATTCTTTCTTTAATTATTTGGGGCAGTATGATTATAGTGGTGATCATAATTTGACTTCAACATCTTCCTTCTTTTCTTTTCTTTTTTTAAAATTTTTTTAAACTCAGATTTTTCTATTAACTAAGATGAGGGTAGAATAGTGCACAAGAAGATGACCTGTAGTCAAAGGGTCATAATAATAATAATAATAATAATAATAATAATAATAATAATAATAATAATGATAATAATAAAGAGCGACTATAGGAAGAAAACAATAGGCTATATATATTTTTTTTTTGTGAGGTATAGTTTGCTCCTTGCCTTGTCAGGTTGCTGCTCCAGACAGGGTCTAGACTCTGGACCATCATGGTCTTCATCATAATCACAATTTGAAATTTCAATAAAAGTAACATTTAAATGAAGTTATTATGGTAACTTGCTTTGGTGTGTGTGTGTGTGTGTGTGTGTGTGTGTGTGTGTGTTTTATGCTGATTTGCTAACAACGTGTGCATCTCTCTTTACAGCAGCAGGTGTCTTTGGGGCTGCCTTGCACCTTTCAGTGGAGGCTTATAGCTGTGCTTTGTCATAAAGTAGTCCCAAGTCTAAAATCGTGCCTGTGCTTCCTTTATGTTACTAATTATTTTCACTTGCAGCCAGTCTGATTATTTAGGTCACCAAGCGTAATAAGAATCACTACTGAGTGATTTTAAGGACTTTTTACTCACAATGCTAGTTGGATCCATTAATTTACTGTGTTTTATGCTAAGCTAAATCTAAAGGAGTAGCCATGTCAGGAGAAGGACTGCTGGTTAAAATTGTTTTTCCTGTTTATCTAACTCTGGGAAATATGTCCCAAAAAAAATTACATTTTGGGTGAAATACATCTTTAAATGATACCATATAAACAGCTAACCTGTTGTGTGCCACCAGAGCAGTTTTTGTTCATATGTCTGAGATAAAGATTAAAATCAGTTGTTTTTTCCTTCTGACCTAATGCACAAACCGCAGATTTAACACACACACACACACACACACACACACACACACACACACACACACACACACACACACACACACACACACACACACACACACACACACACACACACGTAGTAACACTGTGGTGTATCATCACAGGAATCCCAGGGCTGAGTGAATTAAAGCAACACAAGTGGCAAGTGTTGGTTCTTTTCCAGATTCATTACTCTAACATTTCCTGTAAGCCGCTGGTCTGAAGGGGACGGGGTTTCCGTAAAACCTGGAGCCCCGTTTCCCAAAAGTATCAGGATTGTGAAGGTGATGGGATGTTTCCTCCTGTAGCTGCACCATCTCAGTCTTTTGGAGCTCTGAGAGATGAGGAACTTTAAGGAGAGGTCACGTTTGTGTTTTGTTTCAAGGTCAAACACGGGGCTTTACTAGCATCTCCTAACTCACGTCGCTGAGAGAATATAAAAACTTGATGTTTCAGGGTAACATTTTGAGTTTTTAACATAAAAATTGTATTTGTCAGGGACCCTAATTTACATCTGAAACTCACCAGAGCAAATGTAATCTTCTGAGATCCAAGCTGTTGTTTGATCTGCATTTTTAATTCTACCAGGGTTGGTAGGACACCAGAAACATGAAACACAAACATTGTTTTTAAACAGCAAATCCGAACATCTGAAAGTATTAAACACATAAACTTTAACATATTGATACCAACAGGTAAATCACAACAATAATTCCAAAACCTCATTAACCCTTTGATGAGGAATTATGAAATCTTCAACCATGATTTTTTAAACAATTTTTTTCATTCGTCTTTAGGTGTGAATGAAACAAATTTCAACAAATATTTTTTGTAACATTTAATAATTTACAAATAATTTGTTACATGTCCACCTCAGTGGACAGCGTGTATTCTGAACAAGAAATATGTTGGCTTGACTTAATGAAGACCAAATAAAAATTTTGAGTACCTGTCCACTGTAGTGACCATCATACATCAAAGGGATAAAATGCAAAAATATGTTTTCTCTTTCCACCAGTGCACGCTTTAAACTGGAACAAACTAATAGGGGCAAAATGTCACTTTTAGCACATAATATTGAATCATAGAGGGTTACGAGGATTATTCTGAGCTGAATGTGTTCATCTAGAGTCCGTTGGACTTGTCAACTTGTCATCCAATGCTGGACATTGTCACTTAAATGCAAATGTGAAAATAATACTTCCTTCTTAGTTCATTTTTTTGTTGCAGGTAACAAATCTAAGGACATCCAAGATGGAACAAAGTTTGCACAAACCCACACATGAGGATAAATAAGACAGATTCATGGTCCAGAAATGGTCTCATCTGGATGGTCTGACGGGCAGCACAGTAACAGGACCATCATCTGCGGTCCTCCTAGCTACCAGCAGCATCTAAACCTCATCCCGAGATGTTGGAGAGATCAGCAGATGATCTCCTTCATGAAAAAGGGGAGGAGCAGGAGCAGGAGCACATGATGGATCTGACCCTATAGTGACTCCTGCATTTAAAAGGGTGCACACTTAAAACACAAAAGGGGATCTGGCTTAGTTTGGAGGTGATGTATACATATCAATACCATATATTAAAATCTTCTTCATAATTTATTCACCCTCATCCTTCCTGTCTTCGCTTTCTGTCCACAGGAGGAAGGTTTATAGTATTATTAAAGTCAGAAAGAGAGATGACAGAAAAATGCATCAAGCTCCTCCTGCATTTTAATATCAATACGGGTGGGGTAATAAACTCCCAGGCAGAGAGCACACAGGAAAGGAGTGACTATAAAACTCTGCATTGTCTAATTTATGGAAGCTGTGGAGGGCGGGGGTGGGGGTAGCAGAAAGGTGAGGCTTTTACTCTTCAGAGGATTTATCAGACAGAGAACGCAAAAACTTTCTAACAACACAGATAAGAGCAAAAGTTTGTGAGAAATTTCCACACAAAGTTAAACTCTAAATAAGAAGTGTGATCACCTGCATGGGGGGAGTTACGTCAGACATCAGGTCAAAACCTCACTTACAGGGGACATGTTGTACAAAACTCACCTTTTGCATTCTTATATTCTGCCATGTGGGTCGTCTGTACTGCCTCCATCAACATGCCAAACGGGAGAGAAAACTCTCATCGGTTTCCTGTCCATGCTTGGTTTTAGAAATGATGAGACAAAGATGTTTCAAAAGTCCCAGACTGTGATGTTGCAATCTGAGAAATTAGCATATCTCCCCCTCCCCCCCCCCCCCCACACACACACACATCTAGACTCCACTAACCAAAAAAAATTTTTTTTACAAAGATACAGAGCGATACGCCGGAGGGACCGTGTTTCTTCTCAGCTGATTTGGGAATGTTTTAGGAATTTTCTGGAGAAGCTGGCCCAAGTGGTAAGTTTCAGCTTCTCAGCTTGCTGCTGCCCCCACAACCCGACTCCATGGAAGAAGACAGATGGAGATGCGATGCCATGCATTGTAATGCAACATGGAGCTCCCAGCAGCAAAATTGTTAGAAATGTGCGAGCGACGTTGAGTCTGGCTGTTTTGTCTGGTTTTGACTGAGAGTTTCAGTCAGCTCAGGTTGGTACACTACTGACAACCTCAGGTAATTCAGAGCAGAACTAGCCAGCAACTTCTGATTAATAGACCTGTACCTATTCTCCATGTCAAGTCAGCAGATGAGGGAGATTTACAAACTTTGACATGATAACTTTTGTGTTTCCATCATGAGTAAGCATGAACTAGCTAGGCGCAGGAGCTGCATGACCTGAAACCAATGTAGTGCTGTGATTTCACTGCTTATAAAAGAGCGTTTAAACACGTGTGTGGGTGCATGTGGACACAAGTGAGTTCTGGTTTTAAGCCGTTTAGATGCGACACAGAGCTTTAACTATTAAGCTGTTTGTAGAGAAAGCAGGAAACTGACTCGTAATTTTCCATTTTTACGGTGATAAACGCTATCAGGAGATGAGTGGGCGTGGCCAGCTCAAGCTTGTTTTCTTAAAGTGACAGAGCCCTGAAACAGCTCCTTCTGGAAGGTACTGAAGGTGTCAAGAGTAGAGCTGGCAAAGTGGCTTTATGTGAGAGGAATTTCATGCCATAACTTCAAGAACATTTTTGTCTAAATCATAGAGGCTAACATAATCTAATGTTTTATGTCCCATTTAAAGCCCATTATCTTGTTCACCGTTGAAAGGGTGAGAGTTCGTTTGAATGAAGTGTTAGCTACATTTCCTCATGAATTACCGACCTCATTTGAATGAAAATCCTAGAAATAATCCCAAGATCATCGGCTGATTAACCTAAGGAGTCAACATGATTCAACATGGCCAACTAAGCTAAGCAAAAACAGGTTTCTTTTTAAACAATTAGACCAAAACCCATACTCAATCATTTCCTAGCTTAGGATGGTCTTGGTTTGAAACTGTGGTTTCTCTGAGGCTTGTTATGCCTCTGAGCCATTATGGCCTGCAGCTCAGCGAGGTCTTAGGACAGGAACAAGAGACACACATAGCCTCCTCCAATCCTGTAACAAACATAGGTAACCATAGATTTAAAGACTGCATGACATTTTTTTACAAGAAAAATGAGACAGAAATGTTCTCTTGATGCAGTTTTGCTTTTCTCAATCTATTCAGACAATCTCAATGTGCCATTGAGCAACAAATTTGAGTTTGATTGATGCAAACAGCTTTAATGCTTCTCAATGATAAAAGGCTGTTCTTCAGTCAGTGTGTGAAATCAACTTTTAAATCTACGTTGCTATTAAAATCTGCTACTAGAGAACATGGTTTCCATGAAGAGATGAACTGGAATTCAGGATGAGATCAGTGTGTGTGTGTGTCATGTTGGGGACTGGAGGTAAAGGCCAAGAGTCAAGGGAATTCAAGGGAATGATTCAAAGAGCACAAAGCTGAAGATCAAGCATGCCTCGTCTTCCAGATGGGCTTGTTGTAATCTCAACATCAAACCCTTCTCTTCTACACATCCATCCTTTCATTTACACACTCACACACACACAGCCCACCTCCAAGTACATATGCGGATGGAAGAAGCCCCCTGAAAGCCGATTGCGTTTTAATAAAGTTTATTATGTGCAGGGAGCTAATCCTCAAGGGTAATCTCTCCTCTCTAGTCCTAAAGGAAAGCTGGATTACTCACTTGCTATAATCCCAATGAAATTGTTAGGATTTAGCTTGTGCTCCACAGCAGATGGCAACAGGCTTTTTCCTTCAACCGTGGATGGTCCAACCCCCCGTTCCTCCATACAACACCCCAGTCCTCCTTACCTCGTGTGTCACGTGAGCCAGGAGGAGGTTAGGACCCAAGATGCAGAAAACCCCAGAACGACAAAGACAGGTAGAAAAAACGTAAAATCCTTTATTTAGGAATAAATGTCCAAATAAATCCAATGAGGGCAGGAAGCCAAAAAACCAATGTCCAAAAATCATGGAGACGAAAGCTCACTCAAAGAGCTCAAACCTAGAGACCTAGTGGAAGCCAAATACCTAGAGACCTAGAGGGGGGAACGAGACAACGCCGACACAACAACGATGAAGCGACAACACACTGAGACCAGACAGGGTTATATACACAAGGGCTGGGTGATTAGGGAATTGTGCACAGGTGAGACTAATAAACAAAGAGGAGGAGCTTAATGGAGCAGGGGAGGAAACCAGACCTAAAAATGGGGAAGTGAGCAAAATGAACTAAAGGGAGAATGTAAGGGAAACCTAGAGAGAACCTGGAGGTGGCTGGGGAACCACAGGGACACAGAAACCCAAGGGGAACACCTAAGGGAAAAAACCTGGAGTGGGCTGGGGAACACAAGGAGGCACATGAGGGGGGACGCAGACAAGGAGACACATAAGGGGAACCTAGAGAGGGATGGAGAACACAAGGAGACACATGAGGGAGACGCAGAACATGACACTGTGTCCCTGTCGCCTCGATGAAAACAAAAACAACCAACCTAAGCCTCGAATGTTCAGCTAAACTAATCTGATGTGTGTAAAATAAATAAATAAAAGAGGTAGAAAAGCTCCCCAAAATCTGTTTACTCTCTAGAGTTAGAGGCATGTTTTTTCTTTAAGTACTTGTGAGAATATTGTTACAAAGTCTTAGAAGTCCAGGCAGAAAGTTAAATGAAAGCACAAATGGATCCAGATCAGAGGGGTTTTATTCTTCATCAGTGGAGAATTCAGTTCAGACACACGGGTAGCTTATCTTTAACTGAAGCACAAAACCCAAACAGGAACAAACAGAATTTTACATCTACTAGATGTGCAGATTTTTGCAGTTAAACTGCTGCCTGAAACACTCGTGGAATTCAACATTCTAAAAATGCTTCAGATAAAAAGGAAAAATTAAAACTATCTGAACTTTTTCCCTTCTGCTCCTCTTCAGCGCTCTGATTGCAATCAGGGAGCATAGTATTTTGGCACATCCCTTTAAAGTGACCCAAAATATCTCTGAAATAATAAAATTTAGTTCAGGTAAAATTCACTGTTTTTGGTTTAGCTCGCCGTCGTCTGAGGCGGTTTTTAAAGAAGACGTACATGGCTAGAAGGCACATGGAGGACAGGAAGTAAAGAAAGATGCACAGGCTGATGTCCAGATTTGAGAAACCGATACTTAACGAAGACATCCAGCGCCCCTTGTGACTCAGCTTCACCTCCCCTCCAAAGTACTGGCCTGAAAGTTCTCGCTTCTGCAGCCGCTGCCCCCGCTGACTCGGCTCCAGGTCTGTATCCACAGGCTGCAGGCCTATCATGCCGAGGGCCGTGTCCAGCTCCATGCCGAGTCCAAACACCGGCTTGTGGTCCAGCTCCACCTTCGTCTGCAGGGTGCGCTGTTTGACCCGACTCAACGCAGCCAGCTGCAGAGCTTTGTCTTTGAAGTTCTGGTTGACAAAAGAGTCAAGGTCCACAATGTCGTCGGCCTTCTCGCGAAACTTCATTCCTATGATGCTTGGAAACCTGTGGTCGTACCTCCTCTCCCGAAATTTCATCCCCGGGACTTTTGAAGGTCGGTAAGCCTGCCGCCGGCCGCGGCCCACTTTCCAAGGAGTCGGGTCAGTTTTACCCTCCTCCTCAATGGCTGGTGCAGCTGGTGCTCCCTCTCCACCTTCTTCTTCGTCTTCTACTTCTTCTTCTCCATAAGCCTCTGTCTCATCCTGTGGGCCCTCTTCCTCCTCCTCCTCTTCTTGTGTGGGTGTTGGTGGAGAAGGTGTTACGGCGTTCGGAGCCTCCCTGGCTTTTCGCTCTAAATGTTTCTGATAAGCTAAATTTTGAAGCCGATGTTTTTCATTTTGCTTTTCCAAAATCTTGTTTTCATCTTCAAGGTAATCTGAGAGGGAAAATGCACATTTCTACAGTTATTACAGTCAAAGTGATCAGCTTTCAGTCAAGATGTAGTTATGTCTGTTTTTACTGGGGCTGCTGCCTGTTGGGTGTGGAAGAATAGTGAACAGAGATCGCTTTTTAATTCAAGAAATTTATGGAAACCAGGTCTTTACCTACAAGTAGTGCATGTCATATACGATCATTTTCCTGAGAACACTCCAAGATGGGACACTGGGTGAAAATTAAAGCATGAGATTAAACATTACCTGTAAGGATGTTGCTGGAGGAGTAGTGGGACAGCAGGAAAGAGAGAACCTCATCCTTGCTCCACTTGTGCTCTCTCTTTTCATTCACGGTGTGGCAGGCTGGACACGTTTCTGGTGACGGCCACTGGATCTTTGGGAAGAACGGGTCTTCACTCAAGTCACCTGAAAAAGGAAATCATAGATGGACGGCTTTATGTTGTGCAGAAGTCAAACACACGGCAATCAAAGTGGAAAAGTTAAATAGTGACCGCAGTGGGGCCGATAAGTGACCGGACAGGATAAATAAACTTTGCAACCTCATTGGTTCACTTAAAGTCAAAGGAGTGTTTTCTTAACATTTACCGAACACACGAAGCCCTGAAATACAACCACTGGGCGACGTGGCAGAGGGGTTATGTGCCTGCCCCGCAACCGTCTTCTGTTGCAGTCACCCTACCTGCTGATGGTGGTCGGAGGGTTTGGTGGCGCCTGTGCTCAGCAGCCTTGCCTCTGTCAGCGTGCTCCAGGGCAGCTGGGGCTACAATGTAGCTCATCAACACCAGTGTGTGAATGACTGTTAGAGTTGTAAAGCACCTTGGGGGGTCGTAGAACCCTAGAAGGAGCTATATCTACTGCAAGCAATTAAATTTGTTATTTTTGCTAATTAATGTCCTAAGAAAAGGAGTGAATATGACAATATTTAAATACTGCTAAGCTGCAACAGGTAAAGTGGGTTAAGTGAGGTCCAGTGATCAAAGCCTATTGGTTGTGCAGCGCACCAGGCTAAAGACCAAAGGTGACAGATCATTTGCTGCTGTGGCCCCCAGACTCTGGAACTCTCTCCCCCTGAGCCTGAGATCAGTGGACTCAGTAGTCTCCTTCAAAAAGCAGCTGAAGACTCACCTGTTCAAGCTGGCTTTTGTATGACCTTCTTCACCACTCTCTCTTTATTCTGCTCTCCCCACCTATTCCACCTTCCTCAGGATCCACTGATTTCCCTCTTTCCTATTCACTCTCTCTCTGTCTTAACATTTTTCTATCACAATTTGTCTATTTTTGCTCATTTTAAATATATTTTTAAACATTTTCTAAATGTTTTTTTATATTTTTACATTTTTTGTTTTTGTGAAGTGCCTCGTGATTTTTATCTTGAGAGGCACTATAGAAAATATATTTTCCTCTTCTTCTTATCTTCTTCTTCTTCTTCAGTGTCTTGCCCAAGGACACAATGACAGTGACAGACTGAGCGGGGCTCGAACCTGCAACCTTCCGATTACGGGGCGAGCACTTATCTCCTGTGCCACCGTCATCCACATTTTACACCTAAAAATGTTTTCTGACCCTTAAAAAAGAAGGTTTCACCAATTAACTCATCACTCGATAGGAAGGCTGTGCTTTTTACTTTAAAACACCACAATAACTCCTGCAAATTAAATAAAAAGGTCAGAAACTCAGTTAATGCTTCCAGTCAGCTGCTTCCTCCATTGTCTTTTTATTATTATTTTTATTCCCCTTGTTGACTGGAGGATGTAAGTGCTTTGATGACTGGATGCAATCTGCGCTGAACCCATTTGATCTGATCACGGTGCTCGTAAAAACTAAGTGCCTATATGCATATGTGTATGTAAGTGTCTAAGTGTGTATATGTAAATCATCTGTCTGCTTTTGTGTGCATGTAATCTATGGATTGATATTTTGTGTGTGAGTGTGTGTTCATATGACAGGGTCTAACAATGATTGATGGGCTTTCGGGGGTGTCCCAGTGGGAGGGACGCTGAGATAATAGATGTGTCCAAAGTGGACAGCTTCTCCACACAGAGTCTGTCTTTTTTTTACCTCCAGACAGCAGACCTTTGTGATCCGAACCACCTGTCTGGTCCCTCTGCAGCTCTCTGAAAGCAAACCCTAATCTCCAAATTGACCATGAGAGCAACAGAAACTCAGGTGGGGAGCTGTCCTTCTAATGAATTAGAAACTTTCTGCTTTAATATGTTTTCTTTTATGTACCAACACCCCTCATCACTCACCATGTTCACACACACACACACACACACACACACACACACACACACACACGCACACACACACACACACACACACGCACAAGTGTGCATAAACACACTCACATAAAACACAAGATCAGACACACAATGCTCACATGCAAAACACACATGAATCTGGTAATAAATTGCCTGTTGTCACCAACAGGCCAGTGTGTGTGTGTGTGTGTGTGTGTGTGTGTGTGTGTGTGTGTGTGTGTGTGTGTGTGTGTGTGTGTGTGTGTGTGTAGGTGTGTGTGTGTGTGTGTGTGTGTGTGTAAGGAGAAAAAGCGAAGCAGCAGCAGGTCTGTCACTTTACAACACTGTCAATTTGCATCGTCCTCCCCTCTTCTGCTCCCCACTGCTCAAGATTAATCTCACTCATATGCATGTGTGTACGTACTCTGCATACGGTGCTTTACATAAAGGATACATCAATTTTATTGTATCCTGGATGGATGGATGGGTGTGTGTGTGTGTGTGTGTGTGTGTGTGTGTGTGTGTGTTGGAAGGCTTTTTAGCAAGTATACACACACCTCACATCTCCTCCCTTTATTCTAATAAGGACAACATGTTTGGGGCCAGGGTGACTTTAGAGACATGAGCCATATGGAGATTGCCACTAAGACCTGTCACTGAGATCCCATCACCTCCAAACAAACACTTTCATAAACGTAAATTGTCAAAAGAGCTTCCTCAGCATTACATTGGTGAGCCGGGATCAATTACAACACACAATGTTTCATCAGCTCACATCCTGAGTTTTTCATATACTTTAACAAAGAGAAAAGTAACCCGAGTGGATAATTGCTTTTTTAGGTGGAGGACATAACATGTCATTACTGTGTATGTGATATTTTCCAGAATGTGGAAAAGAAACCCCATTAAACCAAAATATCATGTTTATGATTTCTGTAACATCTGGCAGCTGCCTCTGAAAACAATACCGATGATGGTTCCTGTTTGGAGTAGCCATGTTGTCTGGAAGCTGAAACTCAGCTCGATGCACATTATATTACAGTTCTACAGTTTTAACTTCGCTCCAGCAAACAGTTCTCTAATCAGCGTCTCTAGATTTAGTGTCATCATACAGCGGGTTACATTTAATAAATATAGTGTGGTTGAGAATAAAACAATTAATATGTATGTGATGTTGCATTACAATAAAAAAAACCTGCAGAATGAACGCCCATTTATTTTTTCTAACCAAAGATTGTGACACATAAAAGTACCTAATTCATTCTTTTTTTTATGTGTGAATTTTTTATGTGGTGCATTTTTTTCTTTTAGCAAGCACAACAGCACATAAATGTTCTAAACATCAAAATGTGTAATAACTGGGCATGGAATTTAAAAGTGAAACTAAATAAACGCCCTTTAGTGGTTGGCTGCATTACACTCTGGTTCCCACTCCATCCATGTAAACCTTTATTCCTGAATGAAAGCACCATGACTGTGTACATGAGAGCAGGTGAGACGCATCCATCAATTCTGAATGGGTCACATTTGGAATCTGCTCTAGATGGCTTTTTCACCTCTCATCTGGATTATGCAAATTCACTTCTCATCGGCACGCTGCGGCGACGTTCCGGACTAACACAAATGGACGCAGTCATATCACTCCGGTTCTGTCCCATCTCCATTGACTTCCCGTAACTTTTAGGATGAGGTTTGAGGTACCGCTCTTTGTGTAGCTTTGAACGGCCTCGCACCTTCCTATATATCCGACCTGCTCACTCCCCATGTACCGGTACACACGCCGAGGTTGGCCGATCTCTTGCTACTCTGCCCACCTACCACAAACTATAAAGCAGGGGGGGGGGTGCGTTTGCTGCTCTGTAATTAACTTCTACTCTCAAACAGACAGTAATCATCCATCATTATTTTAAAATCACAACTAAAGACCTATGACTTGGCATTTGGCCTGTGATGTTTTTGTGTTTTATTGTTGTTATTATTATTGACAGTTTTTATCTTTTTTTTTTTACTTTTCTTTTGTTGCTATTAAAGAAATGTGTCTTGCAGCACTTATGCCCACTCTCATGTTGTTTTTTATATGTGCTACAAAAATAAATTTGGTGAGGTATGCAGACACGGCAGCAGCCATCAACAAGACTTAATATGGCTTCACTTTTAAACGAAATCATTGTTATAAGATAATGAATACAACACGATATTAACGATGGAACGAGAACATAAATATGTAATATGTTCACTGGACTGTTTTTACAGATTTAACATAATTATTTAATTCATAACAAAATGACAAAAATCTTAGGGAGCCCTTGTTTGTACAGATTGTTAATTATCCAAAGCACTTACATTAAATACATTATTTTTCTCATTTTGAAGTTTTTTTTGTTAAAAATTTAGAACTTATTATTTTACCCATTTTAAATAGCTTTCTGTATGACCTCAGTTTGGTGATTGTGGCCTGTTAAGCTAACAGCTAGTTCAATTTCCAAAATGTAATAATCCAACATTATTTTTCAAAATATTAATTCATTGCACAGTTGTTTACATGGAAATTTGGGGTTATTTACAAGCATAAAATTCCCAAACAGCAGCAAAATGAAGCTCCTTTGATGCATATGCAGCAGGGATTTGTTAATATATGTCTCCCAAAATAACATTTATCATTTTCACCAAGCAGCCAACTTCCAAGAGGCTAAACATCTCTTTAACAGATAAAAGCAGCACATGAAGCCGGTGCTGCGAAGGCAGCTGGGCTCGCTGCAGCAGAGCTGGGCTGTCTGCAGAAATGTGACTCAGTCTCAGCTGTTGACAAGCAGCAACAGGACCGAGGTGCCAGCAGTCTTAATTCAGCCAGCGAGCAAGGAGGCCGAGGGCCCTGGGGCCTCTTTGTTGCCATCTAAATTAATTGTCCGACTGCTTCTCAAATAGCTGATCTTTCATGCATGGCTGCCTGTGAAAGGAGGGGCAGGGATGCCTGCTAAAGGGCTCCGCTTCAGGCAAACGGCAGAGGAGGGGCTGAATGGATGGAGCGTGTGCTTTCCTCAGGGAAGACGCAACAAACACACCCCACTTGGACTCCCTCCCTCTGCCACACGCCACAGCTGATCCGTGCTAAAAAGGCAGCGAGGATGTGTCTTTTTGGATGGTGGTGGTGGGGGGAAATGAGGGGAAGCGTGTGTGGCTTGTGTCAGGGTGTTTGCCACCTGCTGTCCCACAATGCCTTGGGAATTGTGTAGCCAAAGAGATCCGGGTCCTGAGGGAGCTCTTCCATGAAGATGCTGTGCTATTGCTTGTCAAACGAATGGAATGAGTCCCAGGGGAGGGTGAGAGGAAAGATGGAAAAGATGGCTACAGGAAAAGAGGGAAGACGGATGGATAAAGGGGGGAAGCAGGATAAGTGTCTGGGGAGCAGACACGTACAGAGACGGGCATCCTTCTGGGCCCTGCTGCTCAGGACACAAGCTGTCCATGAGATAAGAGAGGGGGCGGTCAACAAAACATAAACAAAAGCCAGTGATTTAACAAAGTGGGCTGTTAATGATGGAGCTGCGCTTAGTAAAATCATATCACCACAGAGGAGGGTCCGTCAGGAGGCGTTTGTTCAATACGCAAAAAGCATGAAAATGTTCACATAAATATGTTATAAATACAAATAAGTCCGTGTTCCGTTTTAAAACTCACTCTTTCTGAACATGAGCAACATAAAATCTCAAATTCCTGCACAGATTTTGAGGACAAAAGCTGGAGAAACAAAAAAGTAGAAAGGGTACGACTTCAGAAGGGATCACGTGAAGGACGGAAGAAGTTAGGGGGAAATGGGTGAGACAGATAATAGATGGAGTACTAAGACGGGGGCGACAGCTGGTGTCTGATCCAAGGATCCATCCTTCCTCCCCTCACTCTCCGTTTAGTCGTATTAGGACTGAAAGATCAAGAGAAGAAGCCAAGATGAACCCAAAACTGATCAAGGTAATACTTGTGATCCCATTGATGTGTGTGTGTGGGTGGGTGGGTGGGTGTTGGGGGGTGGGGGGGGGTGGCGAGGAAAGACAGAAGTCTGGAAAGGGAAAAGCAGGAAAGTAAAGGACACACAGGTGCGTGGTGAGGCCTGGGTATCCTTTTTGGGCTGAGGTTAATTACTAACCCCATCATTTTTTATGGTACAAAAAAGTAGAAATTGACTATGAATAATTTCCAAAAATACGAGATAATGTTTCAGTTACTTGTCTAAATATGAACAACCAAAAATCTAACATTACAGACAAACATATATTATAATCCCTAAATTACCCTGAGGCCAGAACATTTAGTTAAACTAAAGTAAATTACTTTCATTTTTGTTGATGAATCTCAGGATTTATTGTGATTGTAAAACTTCATAATGGTCAATCAATCAATCAAAGCTTTATTTATAAAGCGCCTTCAGCGACCGTTGGGAAGCCCAAGGCGCTGAACATGGTACATGAGAAATGTGAAACATGATGAATAAATCAAAAATAAAAGCAATTCAAATAGTGCAACAAAGGTAAAACGTTAAAGTAGAAGACAAATGGGTAAAACAAGGAATAAAGAGACCAATGAAAACAGGGAAATAAAATCAACATAAAAGAGGGCCAAATTCAAACACGTTCAGGGAACGCCAAGTGGAGGAGGTGGGTTTTTAGGCGACTCAAAGACTGGCAGAGATGGGGACAGCCTAACTGAGGGTGGCAACTGGTTCCAGAGTGACAGTGCTAGGACTGAGAAAGCCCGGTCCCCTAGAACGAGGGACAGCGAGCAGGCCTTGGTCAGAGGAGCGCAGAGCGCGTGATGGGGAATGTCTGTTCAGGAGTGTGGCTAGATAGGGGGGAACACCACCCTGGAAGAAATTGTAAACAAAGACGAGGAGTCTGAAGTGTGAATGATAACAGACCGGAAGCCCGGCAGGGAGGCCAGAACCGGACTGATGTGGTCCCGTTTCCTGGTCCCAGTCAGGAACCTGGCTGCGCTGTTCTGCACAACCTGTAGGCGACGCAGTGATGACTGACACAACCCTGCATAGAGAGAGTTGCAGTAATCAAGCCTAGAAATTACAAAGGCATGCAGTACCCGCTCCAGGTGGGCTCTGGACAGCATAGGCTTGATTTTTGCAAGGCGTCTCAGGTGAAAGAAATTGGACCGGATCACAGAGTTGATGTGAGCATCAAATTCAAGTCCAGCGTCAATTTTCACCCCCAGACTGGTGACAACTGGTTTTGAGTAGGGAGAAAGAGAGCCAAGATCAACATAATGACCCACAGCCCTGATATTGGGGTGAAAAACAATGGGCTCTGTTTTTCCCTCATTCAGATGCAGACATTTGGCCATTAGCCAAGACTTCACCTCGTTAAGATAGGACACAAAGGACTCGACCTTTCTCCTGACACAATGGTGAGAAAATCTGGCAATCGTCAGCATAGAGATGGAACGCTAGGCCATGTTTACGAAATATTGACCCCAGAGGAAGCAGATAAATTGCAAACAAAAGAGGACCAAGGATCGATCCCTGCGGGACCCCCCAGCAGAGCCCCTCCCAAGAAGAAAAACATAACCCAGTTTAACACAGAATGTCCTGTTGTGGAGATACGATCTAAACCAATCCAGAGCCGACTCTTTGATCCCAACCCATCGTTCCAAGTGATCAAGTAGAATCGCGTGGTCAACTGTGTCAAAGGCTCCGTCAGATCGAACAACAGAAGCACCACAGATGTACCCTGATCTAGTGAAAGATAGATATCATTTAGGACCCTCAGTAGAGCTGACTCTGTGCTATGGCCAGACCTGAACCCTGATTGGAAAACCTCAAACAGATCAGAGTCAGCTAAATGCGAGACCAGCTGCTGATAAACGACTTTCTCAAGCAGTTTTGATGTAAAGGGCAGGGTAGAGATAGGCCTGTAATTTTCAATCACAGAGACATCAGCACCAGGTTTCTTCAGGGTCGGCCGTGCAACAGCTGCTTTCAAAGCAGCTGGGACCACACCTGTGCTGAGGCTCCCATTGGTAATCTGACCAAGAGATGGGCCAAGACACGGAAAGGCAGCCTTCCAGAGACGAGGCGGCAGAACCTCAAGTGGAGAGCCAGATGGCTTCTGCCTTGCAACAAGCTTACTCAGCTCAGAATAAGAAACGGTATAATGGTGAACATTAAGTGTTTAATCCTAGAGAATAAATGCAGGACTGGATTTTGCAAGAACATCTTCTGACCTGATGTTTTTGTGACAAGTGGTTCAGATTTGAAGGATCCCATTTAAATCCCTTCACCACCAATAAACAAGTAAACAACAAGAAGAAAATAAACAATAATTAGCAGGTTCATGGTCTCTAAAAATAGTTTGGATTTAAATGAAGACTCAGCACGTTTTCATCAGCTCATCTATTACTGGTTCCACTTGTTTATTTTTGAACACATTTTCTTCTGCGTTCAGTAAAACAAAGTTATCCAACAGAACACAGCAGAACAAACTCACACAGCTCTGTTTATAAACCTGTTTTGGAGCTAAAGTCAGACCTAACTCGCTCTTACCTGAGATTCTGTTGTTGACCTGGTTGTGTCTGAACCACAGCCACAGTACCGCTGAAGGCAGCGTGCCCACCTGCTCCAGACCTTCCTGTGCCATGTTCTCAAAGTGCTCGGCACAAGCTCTGCATCCAAAGAAGTGGTGGATGTAGCTTCTCATCGCACTTAGAACCTCCACGGGGTCTGCAGGACGGTCAAGAAGTCAGCAAAAACATTTCCTTCCCAAGAAATTATTTTGTTGCCTTTTTTCTGTTGCATCAAGTTGGCCATGACTCCCTTTGACACCTCTAATGTTATCAATACTGGACATGAGTTTCAACAGCCACACGTTTTCCCACGAGTACGTGGGCCTGCAGTCACGGGACATCGGGTTAACGAGGAGAATAATCTCTGAGAATGGGATAACCCAATCTGTAGATTAAATGTGGTTAACGCTCTGTGTGAATGGCGGCCAGGCTGTTGTCTCAGGACATCAACAGTCCACAAACATATTTCCCCCCAGCCATTTGCTTTTGTTCTCAGATTAGCCGCTTCTTTAAATAAACCAAACAGCAGGTGGGAGTGTGAACGGCAGAACGTGTACTGTGTGTGTTTTCAAGAGCTGTTTATTACGTTGGTTTTGCTTATTAAAAACATTTTAAAATCCAACGTGTTTTGTCGACAATGTTTTGTTAAATTCACAGGCCTATCATGTGCCACGAGTGTGTGTGTGTGTGTGTGTATGCATGCGCGCACGGTCGTTAAGCTGGTGGTCTTTGGGGGTCCAGATGGACACCCCTTTTGGTCAGTCCATCTGCAGCTCACGTGATGGTCCGTAAACCTTGGGATTAAACTCTGAGTGCACCTGTGTGTGTGTGTGTGTGTGTATGTGTGTGTGTGTGTGTGTGTGTGTGTGTGTGTGTGTGTGTGTGTGTGTGTGTGTGTGTGTGTGTGTGTGTGTGTGTGTGTGTGTGTGTGTGCGCGCGCGCGCGCGCGCGTCCGTTAAGGGCCAGATTAAGGTCCCTGCCAGGAGCGAAGACTCTGGTCATCTGCCTGTTTTATTAACCACTCACATTCCACTAATCTAACATAATCCCTTTTCACACAGTCCCAATTAGGCTCAATTTCAGTTCTGATAAAAATGTCACAAAAATATGAAAAAAAAGAAAAACTTTGTGTGTGTGTGTGTGTGTGTGTGTGTGTGTGTGTGTGTGTGTGTGTGTGTGTGTGTGTGTGTGTGTGTGTGTGTGTGTGTGTGTACCTGAGCCTCCGGTGCTGTTGGCCTGAACAGAGAGAACATGGAAGAGTGTCCACACCCCACACGGATAACGTCTAAAGTGGGGCTGTGAACCCTGGCAGCCCACCCACCTTACTCCTTCAGGCAACGCAGTGTGTGGAACCTGAGAGAAAACAAGTCATTAAGAACACACAAACAGAAAGTAAACATCAAAATGTTATTCTATTATTCTTCTCATTACCACAACCAGTTCACTTATGTCGGGTATTTTTCTTATTTTGTAAAACGCTTTGAGCTGCACTCGATGTATGAAAAGCGCTTCACAAATTAAGTTTTGATTTGACTCATTCCAGCGTGGCGTCTCGTCTCTAGAAACACTCAATTCTGGCACCAAAATAAAATAAAAAAATATTTCCTAATGGTGTGGAACACTGAAAAATCATTTTAAAAATCTCATTTCTGATTATAATCTGTCACACATAAGCAGGGACGAAATTTTGATTTCAGAAGTGGGGGGGACACAGCAGGCTTGTGCGGATTTGGGGTGGGGGGTGTTATGTAAATACCCCTTGACACGTCACGTGCCCATCTCAATAATTTTTCCATCCTCATATATATATATATATCAAAGTTAAAAAATGTACAACTCTATTATTATTTTTATTTATTATCATTATTGAAGTGCAGTTTTGGCTGTTGACAATGGATAGGCCATTGTATTTATTGTTTTGGGTCTTTTTTATTGTTTTTGGTGCAACATTTTCTAACAGGGAGTGAGATTCCTTTTTTATTCAATTTTTGTTTGTTATTTTTATTCATTTAGAAGTTCTGGTTCTGGACATTTCAATGTTAAATGAAGGTTTATTTGTTGCATTTTAAAGGGTGTACTTGCATTATTATGATATATTAACATTATATTAGTGGTTATTTTGGTCTAGATAATGTTGACAATATCGTTTATCATCAACAATTTGTTGGACAAAATATCGTCCAGCAAAATTTGTTACATTCCCAGGCCTAGTCAAAAGTATAAAAATTATTTATACATAAACGGTCCCTCCTGAGATCTGGCCGTTTGTTCATTTGCTGTGTTAGAGGACATGCTGAACTAATGTTTTACACATGATCATCACCCTAACATTTGAGTGTATAAAAACATATTAAATATGTTTTTTCCCTTAAAAGTGTTTAAACAGTTGTTGCATTTCAACACACAAAAAATAAATGGAAAAAATAAGATAAATCTAATGAAGAGTGTACATCTTTGACATTAAGCTTAAAAAAATCTGTTGACGATGATACTGTTCATTTTTCAGAGCTTTTTAATGTGAACATATACATTGCAATAGATAAGTTTACAATAAAGTTAAATGATAAAAGTTTTGAAGTTACACTTCTACTACTACTACTACTAGTAATAATAATTATGATGATAATAGTAATAATAATAAAACAATAATTATAATAATACGAATAAATTGTGTCTGAGGAGTCAGTTATGTGGAGGAGATGAGTTTGTAAAAGTTAGTTTTGAGTATGTGTGTGAAGGAGGAGGTGAGTCTGAGCTTAATGCAGGGGTGTCACATGTTCCAACTTACGTTTTGACTTTGAAAGAAGTCTCTTATATCCACTTTTCGTTTTCTTGACATGCTGCCTCCTGGCTGTGCCTAACTACCAAAGACTCACAAATGAACACTTATTCAAATGTTATGTAATGGAAGCTGAGCTGAGCTCTGATATTACACAGCGTCTAGTTGACGATGTGACTCAGTACCGGTGTTCCCTAGCGGCTCCAAACTAGCAACGTGAGCACGTTCTGACTGTTTCCAACTTGAGTGACAGCAGCAACAGCCAATAATACGTTAGCAAGTATCAGCAGAGCCAATAGATTAGCTTTTGGGCGGGTCTAATAGTAAACCGGTTTCCGTTTCGGTCCTAGTGCTCAACCAAATCCATTTAATGGAGCGTAACATTGTTTTTGGACGGAAAAAAGTGCAGGGGACCAAAACTGCCTTTTGAAAAAGTGGGGGGGACATGTCCCACCCGTCCCCCCCCAAAATTACGTCCCAGCACATAAGTCTCCTAAACCTATCTCCTGCATTAGCTTCTGATAGAAAATAGACAATGAAACTCTACTCAAGTCTACTCCTACAGACTTGTGTTATTTGTGGAGATAAAACATCCAGTCAGTGGTAGAGTCCATTCAGTTTATTTATATAGCGCCAAATCAGGACAAGAGTCGTCTCAAGGCACTTCACATAATAAACATTCCAATACAGGTCAGTTCATTAAGCCAATCAGTAAAAAGTTTTCTATACAAGGAACCCAGCAGATTGCATCGACTCACTGACCGGTGTCAGAGTCTTTACAGCAATCCTCATACTAAGCAAGCTTGCAGCAACAGTGGAGAGGAAAACTCCCTTTCAACGGGAAGATAAAACATCACCATTGCAAGTCGGTGGTAGAGATGTATTGCCGTTATCCAATCCGAGGCGAGATGTCCAAATATCAGAAAATAACTCTAAAACCTGCCATCTGAAGCTCAGCAGTGATGTGGCTCACTTAAAGCTCCTGGAAATGGTGCACCAGTGTTTTTTGTCCCCAGTGTCCGACTTACAAGGCATTCATTCCTACTAGAGACCATTGCAAATGTATTGATTAAATGAGTGTTGCACACCTTTAAATCCTCTGAGAAAAAAAGGCTCCAGACTTTAATACTTCACGTAAAAGAATAAACTAAATATTATATTTCCACAGAATCTAAAAAGAGAAGAAGCTAAAAACAGACAAACAGTTAGACATCGTTGAGAAAAATCTAACGTTTCTCTCATCTTTGTTCAGATTAAGAGACAAATTGCAAAATCGCCAAGGTTTAACAAAATTACAAAGATCCTCCAACAATGAAAGTGTCTTGCCCAGCAGCTCCCAACCTGTTCAGCTTAATGAAAGCTGTTCTTGGATCAATGAGAAGTCAGACTCAGGTTAATTGCTCAGCCCAGCGCTAATGAACAGAAGCGATCCAGTTCTCTAACCACCAGCCACAGTTGGATCCAACAACATATTTCCTCTGACATAAAGTCGTTCAACTCTCTGCGCTGCCTCACCATCACCGCGGTGACTGACAGGGTTACTCACTTGTCAATAGTAAAGATTTTGCGAGTGCGGATGCTTGTCGGTGTGTGTGTGTGTGTGTGTGTGGAGAGCCCATTTCCTTGGAGGTGGAGTCCATTCTTACCTTCCTATTGATTCATTGATCCATTGATTTGCCTGCTAAAAGCTAATGATGTAAAGTAAGTGACTCTTTTCATTTGTGAGGAGGCGGTCGACTGGAGGCATGCAGGCTTCATTCCAAAGACAACAGTAGCTATGTTTCCATGGGCACAAGTAATCAGAATGAATGTCCTATCAGATCAAAAATTCCTCATGTAAACACGTTAACCGGAATATTGTGATCTGATACAGCCTGATCGGAGTGAAATTTCCTTCCCATTGAGAGAGGTGGTTTTGTCTGATCACCATTCCGTTTGCCGTCCATGTACACACCCATTCGGATTGTTGGGAGTAAAATAATGCCCACTGCGCATGTGTGAAGCTTCTGCGTGACGTCTTTCTGCCTTTGCACACGCTCAGGACAAGTCGAAACATGACTGGAGGTAAACAGAAGTGGGCCATAATGGGGGGAAAAACGTAAGTCAACGGATAAAGCTAGAGAACAAGACAATAAAATGTGAGGGAAAAGACGTGTGGACAAGATGGCGTTTTTTACAATTTTTTGGGAAAGATAACTCTGTGCATGCTTAACCTGTTTAATCTGATTGAATGCTTGGTGCATGTATACTCGCAGCAGATCAGGTCATTTCAGTTAGTGCCCATGTAACCAGAGATTTGGGATTGCTGATCAACCTAGATTTGAATCAGATAGGGGAAATGCGACACATGTAAAGGGTTGTTTCCCACGCTTGCACACAGACAAAGCAAAGCACCGCATGGGAGCCAACCATAAGGATGATGGTTTATAGAAATTTTTTTTTATAAGAAAATGTTTCGAGAACATATTTTGAATAAGGTATGTGATCATTTTATCTGATGAAGGTGACCCTGAAGCTCAGAATGGACAGACTAGACTCCCAGACACGTCTTCAGCCCAGCCCAGTCCCCCTTATCTCTGTGCTGATACTTCTCTACCTGCCACCTGATTACTTCCTCCCATTATTTTGGATGCTTTAGTCCAGTAGTTCGCAAACTATTTTCCCCAAGAGCGTCCCTTCCTACACAAACAGAAGATCTGCACAAGAAATCAACATAAGAATTTGTGGATACATCCCAGAATATTGTACTTTCAGAAGAAGCCACCATAAACTGCCACAGCTCTATTCAGAGAAGAGCCGTCATGATGTTTCCAGACGGATTTGGGTTTTCTTTTACTATTGTGACATGATGAAATAATATGACTGTTTAATCAGGTGTTTTCAGACAGGCGAGCTTATCTCACATGTCTTTTCTGTTCTTTAACAAAAGTGCATCGCGTAAAACACAGAAACGTTGGGGATTCGTCTCCTCTTGAAGTGTGCAGCTGATTGGGGCTCAGCCTCCACACCTTTTCACCTCTCAATTCAACATCGGTTATACTTTTCCTACACAAAACATTTGAGGCAGATGCTGAATTAGCTTACTCAATGTATAAAATTATGTCTTACGGAAGCGCTTTCCACACTTTTCCACTTCAGATCTACAAAATTATACTTACTGAGGACCAAATAAGTGTTGAAACATCTGTATCTTGTTCACACCCATTAAAGCTGTTTCACACTCTGAGTGCTCGAGCCCTCCTTACTTTTTTCTTTTTGGGGATCTAAAAAACTTTGTCAAGAATGTGACCCCAGATACCTCTGATATGACTATACAATCATGCTTAAAAAGCTAAATGATTCAGGGCATAAAGAAAACGGCTTGACTTCATGTTCACTTTTATACTTTAAAGATAATTTTAGTTTTGTAACAATTATGCTTCAGCAACAGTTTTAATTTTTATTCTTAATCCTGGAAATCATCAGAAGACCCCGGTGTAGTTTTACTCCCAACGTTAGGAACCGCTGTTTTAAGGGATCTGTGGTTTAATCAAAGATGCATCAGTTTAAATGCTAATAATAATGTCTGATAGTCTTTAAGAGTGTTATAATTTTGTACACGTGCAAAAAGATTCTACAGCCTCTTTTGTAGGGATGTACCGATACCAATGCTGATATCGGTATCGGTGCAGATACCGAAACGATACTGGTATCGGCATCGGTGAAAGTTAACCGATACCAGGAATCGATACCAACGCAGTTGCTTGAAAATGGCTTCACTGTAACTTTGTTTTTTCTGTTCACCTAATATTTTAGTTTTGTGATGATTTCAATTCATATATTTTACTTTTTATCTACCTCATAGTCTTTTCCTGTTGAAAGTAGAGAAGAAAATAAAATCTGTATTCCAAATCATTGCATTTTTTTGTGTGGTAGAAGTATAGGTATCGGTAATCGGTATCGGCGAGTATTCAGAACCAAGTATCGGTACTGTATCGGTTTGGAAAAAAGTGGTATCGTTGCATCCCTACTCTTTTGTATTGAAGCCTCCAGTCCCCCTGAAGGGAGGGGTGGATGCACCAGGTTGAACTTCATCACATGCAGTATCTGGATGTCTAAAAGCTTTGCTTACCTGTACTCTGTTGTCCAGTACGTCTTCAAACGCCTTATAAGAAATCTTATTTTCAGTCTGATCCTGCAGCCAGGCCTTTAGAGTCTTCAACAAATTCACCACGACAGGACGACCTGGGAAGTACTGCAGATATGGGCAAAAAAAACAACAACAACAAAAAAACAGCAACAATGAGCATTTTTATTCATATGTCCTGAGCATCCACAATAAAAGTCTCTTTGATTTGATAAGTAGACAAACACTTTTCTACAGGCTAGATGTGAATGTTTGTGATTCAAGACACATTATTGATACCAACAGTTCAACTGAATTAATAATTTACTTTATTTACTCTAAAGAAGTCTAGTTGAAGTAGAAGGGGACTGTTGTCCTTGCTTTTTTTCTTGGTGAGGATATTAAATTAATACTAAAAGGTTAAAGAGGTCTTTCACATATATTTTTAATACATTTGCAGTGGTTTAGAGTAAAACTGGATGTCTTAAGTCGTACTCAGGGGTTGGAACTATTTGAGCACAGAGAATTACTTTGAGGTGTTGATGTTTTATCTCAAATAACACACGCCTGGAGGAGTTCTGCTGTGTGGTGGAATTGCTAATGCTAATGGCTATCTTCTACTAGCAGAGACATTCTATTCTGTTTCCTGGATGCTAAAGCAACAACAGCCTTCTCCATCTTGAGACAAGAGTGGTGAGTCCATGAATGTGTGTGACGTGGATCTGTCAGGCTTTTCTAATCCTCAAGTTTCATTGTCTATTTTCTATCAGAAGCTGATGCAGGAGGTAGGTGTAGGAGACCATTTTCATGTTCAGCCTGCATGTTAAACTCCGAGCGACTGATCACTTTCAAAAATAATAGGTAAAATAATGGTTTCTCAGTGAAGGACGTCTTTTTACAGTTACATTTTGGTACCACTTTAGAACAGCGATCCACTAAATAGCTAATTAATAAGTTTATAGATATCTTATTAATCTAACTTTTTGTAAATCATTAAAACATTTTAATAATTAAGGGGAAGACAGAGAAAAAAGATTAGGCTCTATTTTTGGTCAGTTCCAAAACGTAAACTTGAGCTATTAAGACTACATTTAAAAATGCATGTTTACACCAGAAAATCTGTATACCCGGATAACATGCTACAGCCATGTGCCCAACACAGTTACTTTGCAGAAAAGCTGTTATTTGAGTGTTTTTCTTCTCAGCCCATTTAAAAAAAACACTTTGGTAATCGTGACAAAAGCCGAGCTTAAGCCTCTTCATTTATTAGGATCCACCTCCTAAGCCACTAACAACCACTTATAGGTGCTCCAGGCTCGGGCTTTCTCCTGTTGTGCACATACGTTGTGTCAAACTGCCATTGCTATGGCAACAACTACAGCTGGAGGAAACGTGATGCCCTAACTAGCTGATTGGGTATGCAAAGAGAGAGAGGAAATCCAGCTGATGGCTGTCTGAGACCAGTGATGACAGAGCGGAGACGGAGACAGAAACGAGTCTTTAAACACAAGATGTGTCAACGGAAACAGCTGATGTCTCGATGATGGAGGACAGTGAGTTACTTTAGTAGATTCAGCTAAGTTTCCTTTTAAGTGTCACGATAAGCCTCCTTAAGTGTTCTGTTTCTCTGAGTTACACACAGCAGAAGGATTAGAACACTTTCCAAAACAGAACACTTATATGGCAACTTTGTGAGATTTTTTTGTATTAAGGTAACAAAAATCTCCAATAAACATCACCTCAGCCAAAAAATAAGTCTGAATCTTTCAAAAGATTCTTCTACTGTGCTGAACTTCTTTCAGAAGATGTTATTTGGACTTTGAATGCTTTATTCTACCCCCTTTCTGACAGTGACAGCATGTGGTGCTGTAGTAACTGAAAATCCTGAGGTGAGCGCAGGGCAGAAGACCAAGAGCCAGGGCTAAAAAACAAACATATATTTGAAATGTGTGTCTTGAACTGTTTAATGTCCATACTAAAACTGACGACAGATCTTTCTTTGTATTGTTGCTTCATTTGAAAAAGAAAAGGGGTGTATTTTGAGAAAAAGTTTTTCTTTTCCAATGTTTTTAAAATTGTTTTAGTTTGTCTTTTTCAAGCTCAGATTTGGGCCTTAAAATGTGCTTTAAGCCTCATTCACAACAAATGTGGTCCGGTTTCCGGACGGACTGCCATTTACACCGGCTGTGCATCATGTGCAGAACATCTCTGGGAATTTTCCTCTGAGAGCACCAAATAATTAGAAATTTGACACATTTACAACTATACTTGTAAGAATAACATATACTATCAATCACTGTGAACTGATATCCCTATCATTAATGTTAGAAAAAAATTAAATAAATAAATGCAACACGAAACGTACAGGTCCTCACTGAGCCACGTCTCACTTCCTTGTCTTTTATTACACTTCATGAAAATCCAAATGCAAAAAACTGTCCTAGACTGCAAGATTACTCTTTTAGATTCATAAGGTCTGTTTCAGCGGAACTAAATGATGAAGAAATGAGAAACAACTTATATTTCTCCTTTTCCTGCAGATTCGGACATCCGTCTCATCTGCTCATGCATGCCTCTGACCTGTGTGCTGCACCCTGCATCTTTACCAAAAGAAAACAGTTTGCTGCTCCATCCCTCGTATGTCCCGCTTCGACAGAGCAATCTCCTCTCCCTGGAGAATCCTTAACTTCTCTTCCACTCAGTCCACAGAACGCTTTAGTCTCCGGTGATAGTGATCAGTTACACAGAACGACTTCTAAAGTAATTTCTAACAACAAAGAATTCATTCAATCTGTGATCATAGCAACGTTTAGGGCTATATTCACTCACTTTAAATAAAAAACCAAGACCACGTAGGCTGCGGTGAGACGACAAAAATGTTCAACAATCAGGTGCAGCTTACTAGACACAGGGGGTGAAGTTCACACAGAGACAGGATGCCTTTTGCTGCAGGCTCCGGGAGGAGTGAGATAATAGGTTTAGGTGTGGATCTGAGGTCTGAACGCCAACCAGTCAGAAAAGCTCATTAAGCAGCCGTATGAATTTAACCAGAGGAGAAGATGCAGGTGTTTCCCACAAATGGGCTTAAGTCTGCATCACCCAGCAATATTATGCATGAGACCCAAGGGTCATAAGGTCACTAAAATGCCCATCAGTCTTCTGCAAACCCATTCAGGTCTCAAAATGTCTCAAAAGTCTTTTTTAACGTGTATGTGCTCCTGGCTTTGAAGACTGATATAAAAACATGATAATTCAATCATCTTTCTTGCTAGCCGTAATTAGCTAAACAAATTTCAGTGATGCATTAATAACTGCGATGTAAACAGCATGTACTGCATCTCCTTCAAAAACACCATTAGATGGTTTTGGACCTCTGCATCACGATCATAGTTACAGCTCAATATTAAGTAAAGCAACGTTTAACCAAATAAAGAAAATATTCAGCTGACAGCACCATTAAAATGATTAATTAGTGGTTAAATTCTTTATTAGGACTCCCCGCTCTGATTATCGATTTTCTCCTGCTGCTAGTTTCATCATCTCTACATCTCTCTGCCCTGCTGCAGATATCACCATCCATATCTGTTCCATCTAAAAACAACAACAAAACACACACATGCACTTTGCCTCTCTCACTCCCCCTCATCTGTCCCATCCCAGTTGGACCATGACAATCCCATTCACCCCAGCAATATGTCATCCCTCATCCGATTAGTATCAGCAGCACTTGAGAAAACCGCAAGCTCCTTGTGGTGAGGGTCCAGAGTGGGAGGCATCTGTTAGCTGCAACCGGGGCAATCATTGGGGGGTAGGAGAGGGGTAATAATCCAACTACACTCCACGTGGGGAGGAACAAGACATTAGCTGGAGTGGAAACCAGGAAACAAACACACAAAGTGAGAAGCATCTGACAAAACCTGTAGTTTGCATCTGCATCAGCAAGGGATGATGTAGAACACAGGCAGATAAAAGGGTGATGTCCTTGGCCCATGGCATGAGAAGACTGAACCTCCCCCTCTCTGATTATTTCCCTTATTCCTCTACACCCCCCCCCCCCCCCACCTCCCAGCTGAAGGACTTCTTTCGAGAAAAGCAGGATAGAGGTGTAATCCCTAAAAACCTTGCGGTAATGCTCTTCATGCCTCTCAAGATCCACTTTTTTTAATCCTCATATGCATGTAGAGGATTCATAAATCCAGCTTCACATCGACAGGACAGTAAATCTGGTACGAGAAAAAAAAAGTTCAAGAGAAAATACATCACCTCTGTTCGGAGACTAGAATGGGAGGGATTGTAATTCTGTGATGGGAAAATTAAAAATGTGTTTTTGTGTCGTCAAGGAAAAGCCTGAGTTGTTCAGTAAGAAATGAACTCTTGTTGACAACGAAAAGACCTCACACACACACACACACACACACACACACACACACACACACACACACACACACACACACACACACACACACACACACACACACAAAATGAGGGATGTGATGTTGAGACAATGACACAAACAGAGTCACATTCCTGTCATTAATTCATGTAATGAAATTACTAAGAGGTTAAGTTCAGATGTAAAATCACAACTAGAAGAAGATAAAGTCATTAAAATTGGGTCATTTTTATACTTTTTTCCAAATTTCTAGTCAGTTTTTATTGTCTTGTATCATCTGTGTAGCATAGCTCTAAATATAACAGAACATCTTTATGAATGTTGTCTTTTAAAATCAACTGTCCACCATGAAAGCAAATGTCCACTTTAACCTTCGTTTTGTCAAAATGCATCAGAGAAGAGCCGGCCTTCTAAATTTAATGCATAATAGAAATTCTAAAGAATTCCAAAAACTAAAATAAAACACAATATTGAGAGTGGATTTAAAGATGAGTCAGAAATAACACAACTTATTTCAATCAGGAAACAACCTTCGCAGTCATTTAAGATGAAACCTACATATCTAAACATTATCATTAGTTTTTAACTTTTACTGAGTTTTAGGAAGAACTTGTTCTAGCTGGTCCTGACTGCAAGCATGCAGCGCCGAGAGTCAAGTGTTAACAAGGACGGCCAGCAGTGGCAGTCAGGCGGAACAAATGAGTGTCTCCTCAGCGACACAAAGCCCTTCTGGTCCCATTCTAGTGGGAGGACAGGCTAAAAATACCACAGGGACTGGACGCTATTGACTAAACAAACCAGAGCTAATGGGAGGCCACGGTGCTTTGCGCCCCCCCCCCCCCCCCCCACACACACACACACACACACACACACTGGCTTACTGCAACGCCTCCCTGGAGAGTGTGATATAATCAAAGAGATGGGTGGCAGACTAAAGCAGTGAAACAGTCTGGTGCCTAGCCAATAGGAGCACGGCTAGCGGGTCAGGTCTCATCATCACAACATGTTACACACACACACACACACACACACACACACACACACACACACACACACACACACACACACACACACACACACACACACACACACACACACACACAGTGACTGATGACATGTTGCTCATAGACTCATAAAATAATGAAAAGATTCAAACTTAGGAAATAAGTTAAATAAGCACACTTTCAAAATAGATGTAGAAACTAGAATGTTACTGAGAAAACAGGAACTGTTTTAATAGAAAAACTCAGAGAGGTCTGGCAAAAACAAAAAACAACAACAATTACTTATTTGAAACAGCAGGAAGATGAGCTTTGAATGTGTGCGTGTGTGTGTGTGTGTGTTTGCACATGCATGTGGCAAACTTCAATCCCGCTGAGGATCCATCATCAAGGTCAACAACCCCCTTGACGGTTTTTTGCTTTCTATCAAGTAAATTTTGTTTACACACGTGTGTGTGTGTGTGTTTATGCAAAAAGAAGAAAAATTAAAAAAATCTGTGCATGTGTCAAAAGATTATGTTAAGCCTGCAGAATTGTGTGCTGGAAGTTAAAAGAGCAAACCAAAATGTAATAGGGGAGGGAATAAGAACACTGAATCATAAAAGCTCATATTCTCCTTTCTGCCATCTCATTCTCCATCTAGTGGTGACCTGATATCACTGCACATTCTTTATGGATATGTTTCATATTAAACAAATAGGTTTTATTTGACTAATTTAACATGCTGTGAATTTTGAGTTTCTGGTTTCAAATTAGGTTCCTCAAATCAAATCAAACTTAATTTATATAGCACTCAATCATACAATACATGTAACTCAAAGTGCTTAACAAATTAAAAAGACCCCACATACACACATTCCCTCCCATCCCCAGAATTTAAAAACAGTCTGAGAATAAAAAACCCCTGCAAAACACTCATCCCCTGGCACACACACACACACACACACGGAAAAAACACAATGGACTGAGTTTAGATGAGCCAGACCAGCTGAGATAAGGAAATGCCATCGGGGAGCCATCTGCCCCAACAGCAAATAATAAAAACTCTGTTTAAAAATAGCACGTATAAAAAAAAGAATACATAATGTAAATAAATAAATAGATAAATAAATAACCTAATTCATTTATTTATTTAAAAAGTGATAGTAATGAGTTAAAAGCTAAGCTAAAAAGATGGGTCTTGAGCCTGTTTCTAAAAACATGAACGTTCTCTGCGGCCCTGAGGTCCCCTGGCAGCTCGTTCCAGAGGCGAGGACCGTGATACTGGAAGGACGCCTCGCCGTGAATATGACTCTTGACTTTAGGGATGACAAGGAGACGGCTGCCAGAGGAGCGAAGAGACCGCGTGGGTTTATACGGTAAAAGCAGTTATGAAAGATAAGAAGGCCCAAGACCATTAAGACATTTAAAAATCGTTTAAAGTATTTTAAAATGGATCCTTAAACATACGGGGAGCCATGCAGTGATTCTAAAACTGGAGTGATGTGCTCCCACCTCCCGGTCTTCATCAGGACACGTGCTGCTGAGTTTTGTAGAAGTTGTAGACCTGAAATCCTCTTTTTAGGAAGACCAGAGAGCAGGGCATTGCAGTAGTCTATCCTACTGGTGATAAAAGCATGCATCAGCGTCTCCGTATTGGCCCGAGAGGGAATGGGGCGGACTCTGGCGATGTTCTTGAGATGATAAAAACCTATTTTGGTGATATTTTTAATATAATGGATAAAAGTCAGCTCAGAGTCAAAGGTGACACCCAGGTTCTTCACTTGTGAAGATGGATTAAGAGACAGTGATTGTAATTTTGGTAAAAGTTTCTCTCTCTGGGCCTCAGGACCAATAACTAAAACTTCAGTTTTGTCCTGGTTGAGCTGGAGAAAGTTTTCTGCCATCCAGGATTTGATGTCTAAAATGCTATTAAAAAGTGTGTCCATTGGCCTTGTGTCATCAGGAGACACAGAGATGTACAACTGTGTATCATCAGCGTAACTATGGAAATTCACCCCGTGTTTCCTGATGACACTGCCAAGAGGGAGCATATAAAGGTTAAAAAGTACTGAGCCTAAAATTGAACCGTGGGGCACCCCACATGTAATCCCATGAACCCTAGAGGAACAGGTATCCAAACTCACCATGAAAGTCCCGTATGTGACGTAGGAAGTGAACCATCGGTGAACAGCACCAGAGAGGCTGATCCATTTCAAACGAGTTAAAAGAATAGTGTGGTCTACTGTGTCAAAGGCAGCACTTAGATCCAGTAGAACCAGTAACAACTGAAAACTGCTTTTTTATGCAACAGGAACACAAAACACAATAAAAACAGTAAATATATAATTGAAAAGAGCCTTATTCACTTACACACGCGTTTGTGTGTGTGTGTGTGTGTGTGTGTGTGTGTGTGTGTGTGTGTGTGTGTGTGTGTGTGTGTGTGTGTGTGTGTCCATGTATTTGTCTCTACCTTTGCCAGTACAGAGATGTATTTCTTGAGAGCATTCAAAGCGTCTCCTCTGATGATGTCATGAGCAGCCAGCTCCACACGCAGAGAGTAGTGCAGCGCTGACTCCAAGTCTGCCATATATACGTGGGAGCTGCAAGTAAATACAGTCACACAGGAAGTAACATCAGCAGGTAAGTAGTGTGAGCCGAGTGTGTGTTGTTCATACTTGTTAAACTGTCTCCAGGGCTCCTTAGTGCTGTTGCTTTGGATCTCTGTCAGGACCACTGTGGCCTTCCCTGAACGCACCACTCCCCGCAGCCCCTGGAGGGCGTAAGTGTAGAACATGCGAGCTTCATTGTTACTGTTGGACAGAGAAAAGGGAGAAAAATCAGTAGTGGTAGAAGAATTCATATTGTTAACTTTATTAAATTAGTCTTTTAAGCATCACCAGTTAATTAGATGCAGGCTGCTTAATTATGACAAATACATTTTTTAAAGAATACCAGCAAAACACATTCCTAGAAATTTGTATTGATTATTATTACTTTTTGAGTTTGTTAAAGCCTAGAATCACAGATAATAAGTGTGCATAAAGACAATAAAGTGTATTTGTTATAAGTGATCAAGTACTAATCAAAAACATCAAAAGCATATTTAACTCTGATCTTTGTGATTGCTATATTAATATGGTTTATAATTGGCACAACTGATCGCTCTCTGGGTGTGCCCACACTTACTGTGTAATGTTGTATTTCTGTTTTTCATCCCATATTCTAGACAGAATTGACAAAAAGTCTTCAAGAAACCAAAGAAGTCCAGTTGCCTTCACTTGAAACCTTTTGAATTACCATGACCTGGATGACCGAGAACCTTCACCAATTCATCTATTTTTATTAATTTTTTATTCCCATGTTATTGTTATTTTGGCAACTAGGTTTTAGACTTTTACTATGAAGCACCTTGGTCACCTTTTTGGCAGCTTAAAACGCTCTACGAATAAACACTGATGATTGATAAACTTTTTTTTTGTTTATCAGTACAGATACTGTTCAAAAACTAATGCAATAATATACAGAAACGCATCACTATTATTATCATTATTAAATGATAAATGTATTGTTTAGGTTTCTACAAAAGGTATAAAAAGCTACTTTTCAGTTCTGAACGTTTTAGTCTCAACTCTCCTTCAACAAACCTGATATTAATCAGCAGGTGATTAATAGGCTTCTGCAGAGCCTGGATAGCAGGTGATTCAACCTCTGAATCTAGTGTGTTGAGCAGAGAAACCACTAAAATATGCTGGATACATATGCTTTCCTGGCCCTCCAGGACTGGAATTGAATACCCTTGATCTACAGGGTTAACTCATTCACTGCCATTGACGACTAAAGTCGTCATTTGCATTTTTTTACTGTGTGGGCGTAGGAACGAGCCCCCGCACCGTGAGAACAAACATCCCAGCTCTAAAGCCGATATTGATCCGCGTACGTCACACATCACGAGATCAGGAAGCAGAAAATCCATGTGTTAGGAGATCGTTTTGGGCCGCTGCTGTAAAAAAAGTGAGGCGCGAACCTGAAAAGCTTCTGCCGATCACAATTCGACAACGGATTATGAAAGAATGGATAACGCTTGAAATGCGCAGATTCTTCCTGATGTAAGAGGTGAAGCTACTCTCTGTTTAGGTAGTTTTGGCAATAACATCATCATAGAGCGCAACGTTCTGTGACTCTTAAAAAAAACAGTAAAAACGGTGAAAAATGCTGGCAGCGAAGGGCTTTACTGATCAGGAAATGGCTGGCAGTGAATGAGTTAATGAAATGTCACTCAGACCCCACCCCCTCCTGTGGCTAGAATATGGCATTTGCAACTTCAGAGTTGGCAGGCCACTCCCTGCTAGTGGAGGGAGCTGACATGGTGTAGATGGAGTCCGCTTCTAGCACGTTTCCAGCAAGTTTTAGATCGTAAACACAGCTGATTTGTTTGATTTAGTGATGAATCACTCCTATAGAAACTAATGAAGGCTGGGGAGACATTTCAGCTGTTAGATGATGGTGTTAAAAAAAACTAACAGCGAGGAGATAAGTTTCATTTTCGGTTTAAAGTGACAATGTGTAGTTTTAATCATTAAAATCTGGAAATATCCATCAAAATGTTGTTGAAAATGAATTAAATGATGCTCAGTTGTTGGAAAATATTGGCGGCTTTGTAACATATAACCATAAAAATCAAGTCTCTGGGCGACGCCATTTTGGATGCCATGTTTCATTCTACGGGAATCCTTGGGACAAAACACATTTACTGATTCGTAACAAATGGTTACAAAACTTTCACCATTAATAAACATTGTTGCTTTACACATTTACCTCTTTCCTCATTGCCAGTGATGAAATGGAGTCTGGTGTGCTGGTCATTTTGCTTAAGTTTGCACTCCCCAGGCCTTTTTGACCCTAATGACCACCCATTGGTAAGGTCTTACTCCAACACAAAAATACTGCTTTCTTGCAGCAATTTAGGTATCTACTGCCCTCTACCACCAGGAAAAATACACACGGTCACTTTAACCACAGTGAATTCATAATGGACACAAGGGGGTGCTAAAAACAAGCTAAACAGCTAAGTGTGCCTTTAAAAAGAACATATTTTTTTCTAATGTAGTAGGTTAAAGTAAAAATACTAACAAAAGGTACTAAAACTTCTCATTTAAAGACTGGGAACATAATTCTATAGCTGCATTATGAAATATAGTGCAAAGCAAAACGTCATCTAACAATATTTGCATATTTAAACTGCAGATGAAAATGTCCAACAGTTTAGGGGTAGACACTTTTATTCCAGATGTCTTGGCGGCATTTTTCTTATTCTAATCCCCGACACACACGAGTGTTCTTTAAACTCTTGTTTTAAGCGGTCAGTGACATAAATATTGACAAGCTGGCCCTTAAGTTTGTTCACTTAAAGGCCTTTTTAAACACCGAGCAGATGGTGTTTGGAGTTTTGTGGCTCCGAGAGATCACTCAGCCGTGTGAAAACCCTGTAACTGGAAAACCTCGGCCATTAATGTTCTTTCCACCCCTCACGTCCACCTCATTTGCTTTCTGCTCTCGTCATGGACAGCAAGAGAGTGTCGTAAAAAAAGAAGAAAAAAAACTCGGGCAGGATGGTAATAAGGAGGATGGATACTCTGGCCCTATGCTCGCTCACACCAGCCAGGGACTCAATTACACCTGCGTGTCTGGTGGGAGTGTACAGATGTGGAGGGAAAGCTATTCATCCACCGCTCCCCAGGACTAGCGGGCAGCCAGGCATCTGGGTGGGCTGAGAGCGTGTGCATTCACCTGGGACCAGCATGCATTACATGCATGACGAATGTGAAACGCCCTCGCATGCTCTCTCACTCACACACACACACACACACACACACACACACACACACACACACACACACACACACACACACACACACACACACACACACACACACACACACTCTTCTCTCTCTCTCTCCTCTCCTAGGATCAATCAGACATTCAGCGATGATGGGAGGCCATCTGTCGCTGTGTGCAGCTGGGGGCTTGTTTGGCAGGTGAAGCCAGAAAAGCAATTGCATTGTTTTCATGCAAGAAATTAAAAATAAATAAATAAATAAATAACCTCCCTTCTGTACAGTGATAGAGATGAGGAGGGTGGGGAAGGGGAGAGACGGAGGGCGAATAAATAAATCAGCAATAAATCATTTCCTTTTTGCATTTGTCAACTAAAGAGTCCTCTTTGCATGCCAAGTTATTGAAAGAGCCAAACAAAGAGGCATAAACAGCAGATGAATTTGCAGGGTGAGGAATGATCAGCGCCGCTTTATGATGGTGAATAATGGGAGCGATTCTGATGCTCTGATCCCATTAAGAGGCCAGATGTTTAAAAGTATTCTCATGAATAAGGTTCAGATAATGAGCAGGGGCCAAAAAGCTTTTCAGCACAAAGCAAAGCTGCTGCATGTGGAAAAATAAGACCTGAAGCAGAATAAACTTGGTGTCTGTGCAACTTAGACCAAGTGGCGAGGGAATTATGGTGAAAAGTTTGAGACGTTAAAGGTAATAGAGCAAGAGGGTCTTTTTGATGTTTCTTTACATGTGCAGCCAATAGGAAATTAGGATCATGATGTTTAGACAAACAGAAGCACAACGGGGGGGGGGGGGGGGGGGGGGGGGGGGGTCTGAATGCTTCTTTATGTCCTGCATGAGTTAGTGCTAGCTGCTGCTTAGCAGTGAAACGAGTTGTTTAGCCACAACCTTTTCCAAGATCTTGGAGATGAATGGAAGTTTAGAGATGGGTCTGAAGCTGCTATGGAGAGAGGCGTCAAGACTCGGTTTTTTAAGAAGCGGGTGGATTATAGCATTCTTAAAGTAAGCAGGAACCTGACCAGAAACCAGAGAAGCATTAATAATGGAGAGCACGCTGGGACCGATGGACTGAAAAGCACTTTTAAACAAAGATGAGGGTAAGATGTCGAGGGGGCATGCAGAGGTCTTCATAGAGTTAACTAGTTTGGTTAACTCAGGCAAAGAAACAGGAGCAAAGCTATCTAGGATGATGGGCCTGGTTGGAGTCAGGAGAGGCAGCGATAAGGCTGAAGGAGAGATGCTAGATCTAACCTTATTGACTTTGTCCACAAAGACAGACAGAAAGTTCTCACAGTCTGTAACAGAGTGGATGGAGGCTGTAGGAGAGGCAGGAGAGACGATGCTGCTGATGGTGTTAAAGAGCACCTTGGTGTTCCCTTTGCTCTGGGACACCAGGTTGGAGAAATAGGAAACCCTGGCGTCTCTGACTGCAGAGTTAAAGGATGTCAGAAGATCCTTTAGGTGCAGCAGATGGACGTGGAGATGGGTTTTCTTCCACAAGCGCTCAATTTTTCTGCATTGGCGCTTTAGGCTGCGAAGGCTGTCATTAAACCAGGGAGTAGGGTTTACTGCAGGAACTGATCTGGTTCTGACAGGACAGATGTTGTCCAGAATGGAGAGGCAGGGCTTGTTAAACTGAGAAGTTAAGGAATCTGGGTTGTTATCAGAAGAACAGGGTGGATCAAAAGCAGCAGAAAAATTGCTAGCTGTGCTCTCATTGAGAAAACGAGAACTAACCATACGGCGAGCAGGAGGTGGCGACGCAGAAACTGACAAGTTAAAGAAAATGCAATGGTGATCTGAAATATAAACGTCCTCAGGACAAACACTGTCAGCATTTAGACTCAGGGTAAAAACAAGGTCTAGAGTGTGCCCCCTGGTGTGTGTGGGGCCAGAAACATGCTGGGTAAAGCCAAAGGAGTCCATAAGGCTGGAGAAATTCATGGCAAAGTGATCGGAG